AACACAATCGAATCACGACACTAAAAAAATGCTAAATATCGAGGTACGACGGGAGGACGAGTATTTCGAACCCCAGCGGTTCTTCAATACCACTATTCGTGCTCTGTGAATGTGCTTGAAGTATCATCGAAATTAAAGGCGAAAAGAGACAACTGCATGATCTTGACTGCGACTTTGTGCCGCCTTTTGCACGGGGAGAAAAACTTCGTGCTTGGGACCCGAAGTTTAGGTCGAATGGATCTCTGAAGTTTTCGGATTGAGCATCTGAACACTTATGGTCCAGCTGCTGAGGTTTGGATCACACATCTGAAATTTCAGTTCTTACATCTGAAGTACTTCGATTTTCACATCCGAAAAACTTCGGTTCTCACATCTGAAGTACTTCAGATGTAAGAACTGGAGTTTCAGATGTGTGATCCGAACCTCGACAGCTAGACTTAAAGTGTTCAGATGCTCAATCCGAATAAACTTCAGAGATCCATATGACCTAAACTTCGGGTCTCACGCACGAGGTTTCTTTCTCCGTGTGGGACGACCATTTCGTATCGAAACGAAACAACCATCCCGATAATCCGGGCAAATCTACGGCATAACCACGCAACTCACTTTGCAACGTTGCAGAGTTCCTTATGTTTTATGCTGTTCCGCATGATCACTAATCGCCACCATTCCACGACATTTCGTGTGCTTTTCCTTTAATAGAATATATATCGATGACCAAAGTTTGGAGCCACGTATCTCTATCAAGGTGTTGCAAAATCTCTGCTCCTATTTTATTTCTTCACAGAGGAGCGAGTCAACTATACTGCCATGCTAAGGAAAAACGCCATATGTAAATTCGAGAGTTGCCAAATTTCCTTCGACAAAATGCGGCTTATTTTTAAGGAAAGTTATGAATACCTTTCCCATGAAATTTTCAGATAATTTAGATAAAATTGCGTACAAAATTGTCCGAAAATTTGGAGTAAAAAAATCCACACATTTTCTTGAAAATTCGTTTCACCTAAAAAGATTTGGCAACGCCTAAAGGTTCATACGGGGTTCCTCTTTAGCACGGCAGTATAAAGCATAAATTATCTACGGAATATTCTGCTGATAGTGAAGAAAAATCAAGGAACTTTTCAAGACATTAAGATGACCAGTTTTTCGAAGAGAAAATAAAGTATAACCGGAAGTCTGTAGCGTCGCAAACGGAGATACTTGGTTCCGCACTTTAGCCATCGATGAAGTGGTTCATTTGTACAATTTATTAAAATTGTACTATTTAGTGAAGAGGATACTTGATTGGGTTTCTAGGGGGAGGAAATGAATGAGACATTCAGTGACATCCAGAATGTCAACCAATGGTGCGAGGTGAATGATCGACAATTGGACGGAGTTAAACAGAAAGGAACCAAGCCACATCGGGACCGAACCGAGAAAAAGAGGTTTAAAGTTTGGCTCCTGCATAAGAATCAATGTAAAAGATCAACTTCAAGTTCAATTTCTGCAAAATTTGCTCCAACAAAAACTTTGAATTTTTGGTGATAGATAGTAAAGCAGTGGTTGAGTTCAAAACCACTCCTAACTCAATTTTTTCCAAAATGTGGGTTGGTTCCTTTCTGCTTAACTCAGTCCAATTGATATTTCCCCATTTGAAGCTGTGATAAAGAATCGAATATGAAGGTTTTCGTTGCAAACACCCTGTTTATCGATCCTTTTCCATAGGTTTAAAGGGCGGATCAATCGATATATCGCAAAGCACGCTACTGATGGCAACACGGGGGTGAACAAGAAACTAGGGAGTTCCAGCTCCCATATAAATGTTATACACTTGATTACATGATTTATGAGATCACCTCAATCTTTTCTATAGTATTGATGACTGCGTATTACATATAGTTGCCGTGGAAGGGCTAACCACACGTTGATATTATACGTACTTGAAAATCTGAAGTTTCAACAGGTTATATTATTTTTTACATGTATAAGACCCGCTTTAGCAGCGCTCTGTGGAGCCGAAACATTACAGTTCCCTATTCTACTACCAAAGCCATTCATGGAGTTGTCACTCTCTTTCCTTGTTTAACCCTTCGTCGCATCAACACCCTTTCCCGGTATCCTTTCGCCTCCTCCCGAGGGAAGCCCAATTAAGTATCTTCCATCATAGTTTTTCTTCCGTCACCCCGTTCAAATAGTCATACACAAGAGATCAAGATCTCGGATGCAACTTTATTATTCCCTACTTCTTTAAAATTTGCACTCATTACAGCACGGGCTCGAACCCCCTCCCGCTTCCCCCTCACAATTTTTCTGACCGGCCAGGAAAATTTTGTTGAATTCGTTATTTTGTTTGTTTCTTTTCCCCTATCCCGAAAGTTAGTTTTTTTATTATAGTAAAACTAAAAATGAAATACTTTAAAAATATGTTCGAGGCAAATTATTTTCATGGAATTGTTACATACAGAGGGAATACAATGGCTCAAAAAAAATCTCCTGATTCCCTCTGGTTATTAAACTTATGGATGCAATGGGTGCAGTCAAGCAATTTACAGACAATTCCAAGTTTGCTACATGATAGCTACATGCATATGTACTGTAAAATTACTCCGATAAGTTAGCAATACCTTTTAATATCACATCAGTTTGCCGAATGTGTTTAGTAAAAGGAAATAAGGGCTGTCAAATTCGTTCGATACAGTTTTTCCAGAATTTTCATTGAAAAAAGTCAGGAAAACAAATTATTTCCTTCCTAAGTCTCCGAATATAGCAGTGGCGTGGCGTGGATTGCGATATATTGATTGTTATGCGATTTAAACATACGGAAAAGGATCGATACACAGGGGGTTCGCAGCGAACACCTTAATAATCGATTCTTTACCATAGGTTTAAATGGTATAACAATCGATACATCGCAATTCACGCCACGCCACTGGAACACAAAATTCGCTGTTTTTCTTCTGTATCCTTTAGAGGAGGGAATTGGCGAAAATATAGGATCGAAGGGTAGCACGGGGTACTTATTTTCAGCCTCGGCTGAAACTCGCTAAAATTTCAAATTTCAATGATTACTCTTTTAAATATTCCTCCGTTTTTTATGTTCCCTGACGACGATGAGAGAAGGAAAACTACATCAGTGGCGTGGCGTGCTTTGCGATATCGATATTTCCCCATTTGAAGCTGTGGTAAATAATCGATTATTAAGGTGTTCGCTGAGAACACCCTGTTTATCGATACTTTTTCATAGGTTTAAATGGCCGATCAATCGATATATCGCAAAACACGCCACGCCACTGAACTGCAAGAGAGTTCATTTCAGGGTTAATAGTTTATCACGGTCCACTGTAGGTCCGGCTTTCTTCAGATTTTGGAGTACCTGCCCCCGCCCTCCACCCAGTGGCGTGGCGTGAATGATCGATTATCGATATTCCTCCATTTGAACGTATGGTAAGTAATCGATTAATAAGGTGTTCGCTGCGGACACCCTATTTATCGATACTTTTCCAAAGGTTTAAATGGCAGATCATTCGATCTATCGTAAACCACGCCACGCCACTGCCTCCACCCCTGACAAAATAAGCCCAACAGAGAATAGCCTTGTCTCGTTGCATAATGCGATAGGAAAAATGAACAAGTTCGAGATGTTTTCCAAGGGCTATTGAGTCGTGCAGTGAAGTTGAACCTGAAGTTTGCGTGGGGCCTTTGACGTAATAGACTTAAAACGCGTCAAAGAGAGTCTAATCTTGAGACATTTTCGGAGACAGAACCCCCTCTCTTAACCCCCCTCTCTGGGAAGACCCTCTCCTGGAAAAGTGCAGCTAGGTCACCTGGCCGCCCCCCCCCCCCCCNCCCCCCCATTGCTCTGGCTACGCCTCACAATGGATCGAGGCAATCAGAGAGGTCGGACATAACATTTTTGACTGAAACTGAAAATTTTGATGTTCATTTTGTCACATCTAAAATTTTAAAGGGTGCTTCTGGAAGCAAATTTCACGAGGAAACCAATGGAATCACTTTTAGTGCCTCAAAAATGTGTATAAACGGAGTTATAAGCTCTTAAAGTTTCCGAATTTTGTCCGCGACCTCTCCTAATGACTCACTGGAAAAAAAAAAAAACACATTGGATCTAGAGTCCAGACTCTTGAAAACATTGAAAAGAAAAAAAGACTCTTGATTCAATCAGATTTAAGCTTAAATCAAAAGGAAATCCGTTCAAATTAAGAGGCTTGGTTCTTGATTTAAGCTTAAATCCGATTGAATCAAGAGTATTTTTTCTTGTCGATGTTTTTAAGAGTCTGGACTCCGGATCCAATGTGTTTTTTTCCCAGTGCTCGATATACTGTGCGCCTATAGAAACCGAAAGATTTACACGGAGAAAAAAAACTCGTGCGTGGGACCCGAAGTTTAGGTCCTATGGATCTCTGAAGTTTTCAGATTGAGCATCTGAACACTTTAGGTCTAGCTGCCGAAGTTCGGATCATACATCTGAAACTTCAGTTCTTACATCTGAAGTACTTNAACTAAAGGGGTTGATATGTGCGAGTTAATGACGCGCCTTATCAACACATTGTGTTGGAGTTCACTGCTTGTTTTTTCTTGTCGATGTTTTTAAGAGTCTGGACTCTAGATCCACATTCACATTTAAGTCGCTTTACAGCACTCCCTCGTGCTCTACGACTCCTAACCTCCACTGCTCTCTTTCAAACCACAAATCTTGGGGTATTGAGCACCTTAACATTTCCGCTTCAATCCCTTTCCCTCCAACCTTTCATTGGGCACCCTCTGCGTCTTCTCCCAGGAGGAACCCAGTCAAGGACCTTCTTCGGCAACCTGTCTCCTGTCATTCTCTGGACATGACCATACCAAATGAGTTGTTTTGTCATAATGTCATGCACGATGGTCTGCACTCTAGATCCAATGTGTTTTTTTTTCCAGTGCTCGATCCTCTGTGCGCCTATAGAAACCGAAAGATTTACGACGGCAAAGAAGGCTGAAATAAGGGGAATAAAGGAAGAGCATACCTTTAGTATTCTGGAGGAAAGCGCAGCAGCAGAGGAAGAGAGTTGCTCTAGCAGGGGCGGCCAAGGAAGCGTCCGGCCAGAATATTACCATGGCGTTGAATATTTCAAGACGACATAATCCACAGGAATCAGAAATCAAATGAAGCGCGGAAGCTGCGCCTTCCGCCGAGCGGCACGCAACCGGCACTGCACTAATTCAAAACTACCCCCGCTCATTAAATATGTACCCGGGCGCGGGCCACTAATTCAACCTGCCACGGCGACATTTCACGAAAACAATGCGCGACATTTAGAGCCGCGGCTAATTGAACGGAGCCGCGAGCCACCCCCGCCCGAAAAAGCTCACATCCCGCCTCGAAACGGCCACGGCCGCCGCACGCCCCCGCATTTCCGCGCCCCGAATTGTCAACCCCCGCTGGCATCCGAAAGTAATGACTTAGAACGCCGAACCGCAACGGTGATCGCACTTACCCCGAGGGCTCCACATTTTTCGAATCAAAATATCCCACCTGCAACGTTTAAAAATTATTTAAAAGTTCCGAGCCAAGGTAGCCGATCGCCCCCAAAAAACTTTGCATTCTTAAAAATTCACCCTCGAACGAATTACTGAACCCCCAAAATCAATTCAAAAATTTCCGTACGAATTAACCACCTGGAACGTTTGAAAATTATTTAAAAGTTCCAAGCACTAAGGTAGCCAATCGCCCTCAAGAGGTTTTGCATTCTTAAAAATTTACCTTTGAACGCAATATTGAACCCCCAAAATCAGTTCAAAAGTTTCCGTGCAAATTACGACTTAAAACTGCGTATTTTAGGAACGGTAAACGCACTCTTCATGATGACTTTAAGAATTATAAGCTCCTGGAAAACCATACAATTTGCATAATCTGAGCTTCGGACATCCTGTTTCTCGGTTGATAATGTTGCTTTCGGCTTATCACCGATCGATTGCACAGTTTGGTGAATTTTGCGATTTCCAACTTCACATCGGCTGAGATTTCACCCCCTGTGAGTCGGGTCACTCTGCAATCGCGAGACCACCGAAAAAGCGATTTAATCAGTTTCGAAAACTCGGAAAGATTTCCGTCGAAATTGTAGCTCCGAAAAAAACAGCGAATGTCCGCTCGTAGTCGAAGCACTGCACTAATGACGGAAACAATTAGAAAAACAATAACCGACGATAACGAGGGACGGTGACCATAAAATCAATTTGATCGTCGCACAACTGCACAAATTGCCACTGCCGTGTTATTAGCTGTCTCACTGCGGATTATCAGCCGGAATCGATGAAAGAAAAAGCTGTTTCGACGGAGCCAACACTTGCGGTTAATTATTTAGAACACAGTAAAATCACTCCAATTTTACGAGATGCGATAAAATTGATGTGTGACTGAGGATCGGTGCATGGAGGCGGTGATAAATATTGCCTCGCGAGATTTATAAAGAAACTTGGGGATAATTTCTAGATGCCTGATAGAACAAATATTCTGTTCGCAAAACGGCGGTAACACTCGCGAATACTTGCGTGTACAGTTGTTCAAATCACAAATGAAGCAATGTTATTAAAAGCGAGTACGTGGATTTTTTCGACCTTTACCGAAAAATCACACTATCCAGGATTATTTCGAAATATTTGGGAGGGTTGAAGAATTCTTCAAAATTTCGAGGAAACTTTAAATTTCGCGAGATTGAGAATGGCGTTGAAATTCCCGCTACTATGACACAAGAGCACTCGTTTGAGGGGAAACAACTGATGAAGGAGAGAGACCGTCGCTCGAAAAATCGAGGTGGAGTTTTGCGAAATCGCAACGCGGGAAAACCGAGCGAACGCGTGGTGTGTGCTCCGAAAGGTGCTCGCGACTGAAGGGCTGGAAGAGGGGGCGATTTAGGGACGCAGCGGCTCCGTTAGATATCGCGGCGGCGCGGCTCCGCGAAGTGAAAACCACTCAACTTCCGCGGGAGCTTTACGGTATATCTGCGGTTTCGCAACGACGTTGACTACCTGGGTGTGGAGAGGTGAAACCGAAAAGTCTGAGTCGTCTACGGGCTAAACCTAAATATTCGCGCGAAGGCTTGGGCGCCAGGGGTGCGGGGAGTTTTTAAGGTGAATCTAGGAGATCTAAGGACGAGATCCGTTACCAAGCTACGCCCCTACAGTCAGAGTCTTCGAGAAGCAATATCATCGTAAGCTCCGAACTTTGTATAAGAACTATGTGCAGATGTGTCCTTTTTGACGCGAGAAGCCTTATAAAAAACGCATCTTTCTTGAACAGATTGTGCAGTTAGGAGTGGTAAACCTTTTTGATGCGCTCATCGTGATTTTTGGGTCATTTGCTAGATCGCGAGCTATAGGTACAACATCACACATCTACTCAGGAGTCCGAATTCTTGTACGCTTGATTTTCGCAATGAGCCGGTTGCGCTGGTAAGAGGATCGTGTTTTAATGCTAGATTCTTGTAGATTAGCTAGAAATAAGAAGATCTCTCCAAACAGCAACTTTCTACGCTCAATATTAACCGATATATCGTCCTATGAAAAGTCGGGTTTTTACGCAAACTCGGTTAATATTCAACGTAGGAAGTTGTTGTTTGGACAGATTTTATTATTTTTAGTTGATCTGCAAGAATAAAGCACCAAAACACGATTCTGCGACCAGCAAAACTAACCCGACCCATTAATGATGCAAAACTCCTACATTTATAAACGTCACTTTGACACATGTGAAATGTTAAGATTTTCCTTCATTTTTGGGTGATGCTACCTTACATACCTACTCTGAGAACCGTAAAGTCGGCCCGTTGCAAACTTCAGCTGGAGCAAAATAAAGAGTAATTCCTTACAAAAATAGCTCAAATACCACGATGAGCGCATCGAGAAAGTCTGAAATACACCCTATAACTTCACAACCTATAATACAAATGTGCGTTCTTTCTGTTTCAGGTGCTGCAGCTGCTGCCACTCGGACTGCATTTTGCAATTAGGAACTATAAATTAGGGCCCGGTTTAAAAACAACGTATGTGCCATTAGCTTCCCTATTCACATAAGTGTTTTTTCAGATGAGCCAGAATTTATAGTTCCAAATAGCAAAATGCAGTCCATCTGACGTTTGTTCCCGCAACCGAAGGCGGGACCACGTTAAAAAAAAAAGGCGCCGAAAGCTCTATCTTCAGGAGCAGCACCGCATCCTCTGCTTGACCGGGTTCTCCTAAGGTGGTGTGGAAGAAAGCTCGTTTGGATTATAGCTACTGGCTATCCAAGATGCAACGGTAAAATAGATAAGTAACGGCAATACCTGAGAATCTCTTCATTGCAGCCATGCAAAGCTGAAATTTTTAGGTGAAGGCTGGACTAAGTTAAGGAAAGCGTGATTTTTTTTTCAGTTTTCTTTTCCGAGGAAACCGCGCCTACAGAAGTTTTTGAAATTTCTACTCGTATTTGAGAGCATTAACAACGCACCATATGAAATAGTTGCGAAGCAACTGGTCGGGAAACTCAAAAAAAATCGATGCTCCTCAGCCAGTTTCCCTGGCCGAGAATTTAAAATTCGGAATTTGCAATAGTTTTTCCAAGAATATTTTCGCGACCATAGAAATTTTGGTGGTCCCAATAGTTGCCACCTTGATTTTCGAAGTAAACGATGCAAGCAGCATGCCTACATTCACGAACGTCATTAATTTGATATGGATGAAAGGCTCGCAATTTCCTTCATTTCCGCGTGATACCACATCACATGCCCACTCAATATTCCGAAAAAATACGTGCTTGATTTCCGCATTTATCGATGCGGGCATAATGCCTAATAATTTGGGAATCTTCAGTTTTCTTTTCTGTGAGAGTTTTTAAAACTTCAGCCCGAGAATGTTAAAAGCGCGCTATAGATAATGGATTGTATCAACTGGATGGAAGAAAACCAAAAATCCATACTCCAATGCCAGATTTCCTGTCTAAGAATTTGGAGCCCGGAATTTTCAATAGTTTTTCCGAGGATATTTTCGCCCGTGTAAATATTTTTGAAATTTCGATCAGAGAAAGTTGGAAACGCGCTTCAAATAATAAGTCCATCCACAAGATCGAAAAGTAACAAAAAATACATGCTAAACCGCTAATCGCTATTTTTCTCGGCTGACCATCAAATGCGCAGGATTTTGAAGTCATTTTCTGAGGATGTCTCCACGCCTCACAGTGGGACGAGTCAACGAGGAAAGTCGGACAAAATCTGGAAACTTTGAAAGCTCATATCTTCAATAATATAAAGCGAATAAGTTCAAAAGAGAGTTTAAGTGGTTTTTTCGTGAAATTTCCTTTTAGAGGCACCCCCTGAAATTAAAATAGTGATGAAATTAACACCAAAATTTGGAATTTTAGCAAAACATTTTATGTCCGACCTCTTCTATTAGCTCGTTACACTGTGCGCAGATGGAAACTTTTGAAAGGCCCATCCGAGAAAGTTAAAAACGCGCTATAAATAATTGAGTCCATGCAATTGGTCGGAAACGAACGAAAAATCAATTTTCTCTTGCCATTTGTCTTGGATGACCATCCGCAGCGTGGAATTTCGAGTTGTTCCCCTCGCATATTTTCGACCAAATGGAGTTTTTCTTTCTTTCTTTCTTTCTTTTTCGATTTTGATTTGAGAAAGTTCAAAACGCGTTATTTATGATGGAGTCGATGAAACTGGTCGGAAGACAACGAAAAATCAATGCTCTTATGCCAGCTTTCCTGGCTAAGAATCTGGTGGTAGGAATTCTCACTGGTTAATGCAAGGATATCTTCACGAGTTTGGGAACTTTTGAAGTTAAGCTCATCCTTCATTTTTGCACGATACCACATCTCATACCGACGCAACAGTCCTAGTGATCGCGCGCTTTATTTCTCCGTTTTAACGATACAACAAGCAAAATGCCTGCATCATGAACGCCAGTAATTTGGGACAGGTGAAATGCTAAGATTTTCCTTCATTTTTACGTGATACCACATCGCATGCAGCCTACTCATCAGGTCCGACAGATACGCGCTTGGTTACCGCATTAAACAATGCGAATGTAATGCGTTCATTCATAATCGTTGGTAATTTGAGACGGATGAAAACCTGGGCGATTTTTCTTTCATTTTCCGGTGATACCTACCGCATCGCATACCTACTCCGGAGTTCGAATAGTTTTGCACATATTCCCGGTATTTAACCATGCATAGTGCCTACATTCAAAAACGTCGGCAAATTGAGATTGGTGAAAAGCTAAGATTTTCCTTCATAGTCTCGTGATACCAATTCATATGCCTACTTTGGAATTAGAGCAGTTCTGTTCTTGATTTTCACAGGTATCGATAACCAACATGCCTAGACAATCATAAAAAACGTCAGTAATTTGAGAGAGGCGAAAAGCTAAAATCTTCTACCATTATCGCGTGACACCACATCACGCACCGGGTCAATTTGCCAACAATGTATCAACTGATCACCGATTGACTTTTAGCACTGATTGCGAAAACGACCTTAGTTTTCCCGGACCAATTCGATTTTCCCTGTATAAATCAAAACTTTCCCTAAAAATCGAGCTTCCTTAAGGAAGAGTCAATTCTCTGGAAAATCTATACAGGATGGGGAAAAACTTCAATCACTTATCCTGATTCGGCATCCAAAATTACATCATAACCATGAACTGCAAGCCTAACAAAGTTGCCTTTCTGCTCTTAATATCGAAGTTTATCTGGACAAGTGCTCCTTTTAACCCATATAACACCATGTAAAGCTCATCCGATTGAATTGCGTTGGAGAGGAGGGGAAAGTGCTTGTTCTTGGGTGACAACTGCGGTTCTTTCTACTCAATTTTTGCCCCTGAAGCCATAAAAGACCTTTGTTTTCATCCAAAACCTTTGTAAAATCAAGTTTCCAAAAAGAGGGGATTTTTCTCAGTGAAAAAACGCCTCTACTTTAAAAAATCGATTTTCCACGAATTTGATGTATTTTGGAAGAAAACGAAGATCATTTACGACTTCAGTGGCAATGAATGAGTGAGAATTACTCCAGTTATTACCTGAAAAAATAACTTTCCCCCTTATTTTCGACGGAAAACAATCAGATGAGCTCTACATGATGTTATGCGGACGGAGAGGAGCCCTCGTCTGGAAAAACCTCAGTATTAGGAACAGAACAGAAACTTTAATAGGCATGCAATTCATGGTTTTCAATGTATTTGGGCTGCTTTACAGTAAACAGATAGTTTGTGGCTAAGGCCGAGGATATATGCATGATTATTTTTACTAGGTAAATGAAGTATTAATAAAGGAAGTAATATTTCTCGAAATAAAAAGTGATGATCAATAGTTACTTCCATGAAAAGAAACGGACAAATTGATGCAAAGGTTACAATGTTCCTCTATAAAGTATGCTTAGTTTTTGACAGCCTCTACAAAAACCAACCACGCATAATCATTTCATGATACAGTTTTTGTCCTTAGTTAGCCACACCATCTTCCTCTCGGAAATAGCGTATACTTTATGATGATAGTTGCTGAGACCCAAGATGGGATCCCAGCTTGGTGCATACAATCCAGTGTGTCAATGCAATGTGTTGCAGTTTATTAATTGTTTAGGTATTGGAAAGATTCCTTTCAAATGGGAGAGATGTTCACCTTCTCTCAATACAAAGAATTTTGGTTGCTTAATTTCTGTACGAAAAGTGATAAAAAAGAAGATTCAGGCTGAAACTGGAGCTAAATACAAAAAAAGTAGTAACAACGAGATAGTAATTGCATAAAATTTATTCATCATTACCACCAGATAGGTTGAAGTTTGAGAAAATTAAAAATAAGCTGAGTAAATAAAAAGATAGAGGTAAAAAAATAGGATCAGGTACAGGATTTTTCACATTTTCTTATTGGTGCAGATTCTCCAGATTTGAATTTCAAGTGCCTGATAAACCAACGCCCAGTTACCGAAGGGATTGGGTCTACAAGTTATAAAATCCTATCAGTATGTAACATGGAATATACTTATGATTATGTCTAGTGAGTAATAAACGGTTTTAAAACAATTGTGTTCATCTCTTGGCTGCTATAAGATCCCTGGCCTGTGCTGATTTCCTCAAATGAATTGTGATATGCGTAACTAATGAATAAAAATATAAGCAAATCAAGACTAAAAGTTCTTCTTTACACTTTATATAATCGAAATGATTTTAAAACAAAATGAAATGATTTGACAGGAAGACACGAACTGGAAAATTTAAGTAATCATTTAAAATTACCGATCATCCTAGACTTAAGAAGGTGAAAAATTTTGCATGGTTAATTTTCACTTACAAGCTAAGACTTCCATACGAAATGTACAGCACTCAAGATAATTATCACATTGTAAAATTCAACGCTTGCTTCATGTAACAACAAATTATGGATAATAAGAGGTAATAACTGCAAAAACTGGAGAAAATTAACTTTAACAAAACATTGAGGGACTAGCAAAAGCTCAACAAAAGCAACTTTTGTCCTGTCACTTAGAGGATAACAATTTCAAAGTCGTCTCCTTTCAATTTTCAGTCCATTTTAAAAATTGACCTGGCTAAAGAGAATGATTAGAATATATTGCAGTTAATAAAATAAATCACAAAAAAGCTGACCTCTTGATCGATTTGAGCATTTTATACGATATGACAAAAAATTTTAAATTAATGGATTAAAAAATATTTTGATACATCAAGTATCTTCAGCACGATTTCCATACTTACATTTTTCAATTCCCTGAGAATCTTCGACACACAAACTTCTAAGCACTGATTCTCAAAGATTCAAAAGGCAAAAAGGGTACAGATTATCTTACATGACTAATATCAGTTTGTCTAACATTATTGTAGTGGAATGATACGTATGCTAAAAAATACTAGGTATAAATGGCACTTCGTTGAGAAACATACAAAACAAAAATTTAGGAAATAATGATTGAACTGAGCTCATTTCTGAGGCTAATTCACGTTTTCACAAGGACAATATTTCTCTCTCTCACACTTAAAGCTGCTGGCCGTTCACTGGAATTTCACTTTGGAAATAATACTACATCCAAGAAATTAATACATAGTAAAATAAGATTTCCTCATCTTCATGGTACATAGTTTTGAAGAATTTATGAAATAGATACTTGTATGATACTTTCCAAAAAATACTTATAAAAATACAGCTTAATTTAAAGGTGCGTGATGAAGCAATTAAGTGATAGCCCTGAGATTTAAGGCAACCGAACTTTTGGAATGATTATCTCCTACTCTATTATCACAAATTCCGAGGAAATTAGGATTGCTGATACACCTTCATCTGTTTTCTCCTTTTGCTTCAAATGGTCGAAGAAATACTGCAAAAATGGCACTGTCGGTTCCAAGAAACTTAAAAATCTCTTGTGACACTGAGCGAAATAATTGTTATGCATACTGCCACTAGAGGCAGTGTAGCAAACTTCTAAATTGTTTCAATTTGATGCTGATAATAATGTGAATAAAAAGTCAGCTTCACAGTGATGCCTGTTGAGGCCTGTGGGCCGGACAGAGTTTCGTTAAAATTCGTTTGCAGCTATTCACAGAATTGGGGTTACTTGCAGCAACTTACTACTTACACTAACAGGGATTAAAACTAGACTGAAAATACTCACGCATCTAAAATCAACATATCAACTGAATCTGTTATAATTTCTTCATACCAATGGTTGAACTTTGAAAATTTTCATCTTAATGTGCCCCATACAGATTTCACACCATACTTTGTTATTCAAGTAAAAAACAAAACAACAAAATTCCTTAAAAATTTCAGTACGATTCTTCAAACTTACCTGAGGAGCATTATGTGAAAATGTTAACTATAAAGTTCCCTGGAGTCCTGACGAAAAAATAAAATAGGAACAGAAATTATGAGGCACCAAAATTGATAAAGAGGGCTCTCAAATCTACCCACTGGTATTTTCTCTGACAGCATGATACTTTTCTCTTTCTTGCAAACTTCCAGAAAAGACAGTGGTAAGCAGCTCATATTAGACCTTTTTAAGCAAGTCGATTCAGGTAAGCTTGCCATAGCAGAGTCTGGTACTTCTGCGCCGCAGCCGCTGGATCGCTTACCGAGACAATTCCGCGACCCACAACAGCAATATCGGCTCCCTTCTCGCCTACTACAACCTCCGGAGTGTTGTACTGCTGTCCGAGTGAGTCTCCTTTTGTTTCGAGGTTTACACCGGGTGTAAGTTGTAGGACTCCCAATGAAGGCACGACTGATGGTGATTGGCAAACCAAGCCAGAGACGACTTCAGGATATAAGATTGCCATGTTTGCGGTAGCTGAAATTATTTTGCAATAATTAGAACTACTCAGTATTTTACAGCTAACAACTAAGCAACATCAAGTCATTATATATGGTCATTTTAGTCATCGTTATTTGAAGAAAACTTCACGTGTCAGATGTAACGCAGAAAGATAGATGACCAAAACGAAGAGAGGAGATTTCAGAGGAAGGATTTTCAGTCCTCTGCTGCACAAAAAATAGTGCGTCTTTGACTCATGCTGACATTTTGACTTCCTGAGGTGGGATTCAACTTACTTGTCAGCTCTGGGCCTAAAATAATCATACAAATGACTCTAATAGAGTTTTACCGAAACGAACTAAAAGCCCCCCCCCCCCTCCGAGGACCCTGAGGACATTGAATACCTTTTTTGGGGTTGAAAATTAAACATAGCGGTAAATAAAAACAGGGAGGAGTACAGCCAAGGAGGGTCGACCTGAGTAAAATGAGATAAATACCTTTCGCATATTCTGGAGAGTGAAGGTTGCCTTTAGAACTCATTTCTGCAACAAGGAACACGCCTTTTTCATCCCCTTCTGGACAAGTGCTGAAAGCAGATCTGAGAGCAGGCACTATATCTGGGCCTGCGTTACTGTGAGCTGTGACAAGATCTGCCCATCCAGCTACCTTACTGGCTTGCTTTAAGGCAATGCTCCCAATTTCAGCAAATTTCCTGTAAAAATTTGAGATTGATAGATTTAGGATTGATTTGGATATAAGTAAAATTTCATAATTTTTCATTTTTTTAAAGTAAAATGATGTTGTAAATACTTCTACTACGTATAGGGAGAAAAACAAAATAAGAAAAAGAAGGATTTCCTTGATACTTCACTGCATTTGGGGGGAATATTTTCTGTGAATACTTGAACTTTCCGGACACTGTCTCGAAGATTCTTTGAGGAAGAACAATATTTTTCTGCTGACTTTAAAGTGATGATTTTAGGTCATGCGTCTACCGTACTAAGTTACTGAACATTTTTGCAGGATAAATGTTTTCTGAGCAGAGTAGGAAGAACTTCTTAATTTTTAGCACTGAAATTTCTGCCTTGCCCATAGATTTTTTCATTCCCTCGATAATTAACCTGTTTCTCCATTTGAGACTTCATATTCTAAAATACATGCAACTGCAGCAGTTAGAACGGAAGACTTGTTGCAAATTAGAGGCAAAACACTTATTAAAACAAGACAGATGGTGAGGCTCTTTCATCTCTGAAGAACTTTGGACAATGAAAGATAAACAGGTCTGCACGCTGATTATTAAAATTGATAGACAAAACTATAGACAAAGGAGACAAAAGACATACGGTGAGATCCTATTGGACGAAGCGGGTGGTTGCAATGGACAAAGGAGGAAAGGAATAGACTAACCAACAGCAACCCACGAGAGACCCGACAGTTAGTCTTTCTCCTTTTGTCTATAGGAACCACCCATTTCAACCAATAGAATCGCTCCGTACTCCCTATGTCTTCTTTGTCTATAGCTTTATCCATCAATTTCAATAATCAGTCTGCAGGTTAAAATTAAAAACTAACCTGTCTTCCATGATCAGGAAATTGAACTTTTTTGCTAACTTCTGGAGCTCTGCAGCTGTGTCATCGGTGAAATTGTCCACTATATCATGGTGAGTTTTTAATACACAGATATAAGGCCCAACAAGCTTAGTGATTTCCAGGAGTTTTTCTGCAGTGGGCACATCAGCAGCAACACACAAGTTCGAATTTTTGGCCACCATGATGTCAAATAAAGAGGCAGCTGCAGCGGATTTGGCAAACTGTTTCCTTTTTTCAAACGAAAGCTTCAATCTATCTCCTGAGGGAAAATCAACAATAAGGGTAGAATTCAAAAGGGTATAATTCCTTTAAAGTATACATTTAAGGAAACGACAATGAATAAAATTACAAATTGTTTTGGATTAGTCCAACAGAAGTTGCTCATGTATTTACACTGTATCAACCAAACAAAATCTCCAACCTGATACCTTATCTAAATCAGTTTGGCAGTGCCCTTGATACGAAGCTACTAGAAAATCTAAACCGCTAGCAGAGGGTTTTTAGACACATTGATTTGCAACATCAGCCCCTTTTTGTGTAGTACATAGAAAATATGGGATTCTGGAATGCAGGTCACTCCTGGAAGCCTTAAGCATTAATAGGGACTTAAATCATTCTAAATTTTTCTGCATTTTCTTAAATGTACAGTCATTTTTCAGAAACATCTATTTTAATTTGTGATTAATTTCCCAATCATTCAGTTGTTGAATGGACTAAGTACACATTACCAAGAGATTCAGCCCCAGGTAAAATTTGAGATTTTTTCATATGATGTTCCTTGCGATCTCCTGAATAAAATGAGCTTTTAAAATCAAGACTTACATTTGTGAGAGTCTGGCGAAATTTAGGTCTCAATAGTGCATATTTCGAAAGTTTAACAGTTATCAAACGGTGCAATGGCATCATTGCTGAGTCCAAGATGCAGAGATTTTTGTCTTGAACTGAGGTGACACACCAAATGCTGCACGTCTGTCTCATTTTGTAGGCCGGCGTGAGACAAGGAAAAAGAAGCTTACTTCTCGGTCACCTTCATTTCCGCACTTAATAAAGCATTTGAAACTGCCAAAAGAGCTGTTTTCAGTCTAATTTTTTTGTAGTTAGCACATAGAAAGTTCGATTTTAAAACTTATTTTACTCAGGAGATCGTAAGGAACATCATACCTAAAAAATCATCATAAGAAATCTCGAAATTTAGTCGGCACTGAATTATTTTGGTACCTATGCAGTGCGTTGTCCTTTGGAAGGGAAAAATGTTCTGCACCCCTTCCTGTCTTGAAACCTCCTTTCCACATGGTGTAGAAAAGGTGAGTTGTCTTCCAAGAGGTCGAAAATTTCTTACCAGATAATGAGAGCTCAGGGGAAATCTTCAAAGGAATCTGTCCAGTTTTAATGTATTCTTTCACAGTGGTAACAACACTTTCTTCGATTTTCTTTTCTAGAAGTAGCATGTCAACAATCTGAGAAAATATTCAACAAAATTTTTTGATTATGATTTGAAAATTTGAGATATACTGAAATTTTCACTAATTTGCTCCAAAACATTTTAGGTTCTCATGCTGTACATGAACATGCACAATAAAAAAGGCAGCTTTGAATAGCACTCCTGCATCTCAGTGAGGTCAAACTCTATTTTTGAATTAATAATTAAATAAGGACTTTTAAAGATTTCAATCGGTAGAAAAAACCTTTTCAGATCTTCCCAAAAATAAAAATAAAAAGTGTCCACTGGTAGGTTCATCGATCTAAAATCCTTGATTTTTCATTACCTTTTCTTTGCTTTTTCTAAACCTCCCACAAGCTCACATGAATCCTTGTTTTTTCATGGTCTTTGCCTCACGTTTTTCTCTGATAACGGGCGTTATAACTCTCACAAGGACACAATTTTTCAATAGATAAAGAAACTCAGATTTGGAGGGCGGAGTTTGAGAATTTTAGGGAAATGGACTGAAATGTTGAGAATCTAACAGAGGTTGTGTAGAGACGTTATAAAGTAAAACAATCTATAAAAATTACACACCCTCAAGGTTCTTTTATTCAGTTCGTTGCATCATAGATGACGAAGTTTGGTATGGTCACACTAAAATTACATGTGCTTCCATACTTCCGCGCTAAATTTTCAAAATCTGTGCTTTTTAAGAGTATCTTGACATACTGCAGACATCTGATATCAATTTTCACCGAGTAAAATAGACCTAACAAGGCTTAACAAGATAGACTTAACCTGGTAAAGTTGAATTGCAAAAGAGTCGCATACCTCAGAAATTGTAAATAAAGCATGAACATTTATATTCTTTTTTTCCAAGTTTGCAACACCACCTTGCTCCCTGTTAAGGATAACAACCGCATCTTTGACTATGAAACCACTTGCTTCTAAATCCTGGAAAAAAAAAAAAAAACAAATGATTTAAGAGCTATCTATCATTATACAAAACTCTTTGGTCATGAGGGTGAGGGTCAAGGAGTCTTAAAGCCACCATGAGTTATTGCGAGGGGGCCAGGGAAGTTTAGTTCCAATTAAAATAATTTTTCAGCTATTATTCAGGATTTTTCTTTTATTTTAGAAAAATTGAAGAGGAAGGTAGTAAAGATAAAGCCAGTTTAACATAATTTAAATAGATTAGCTAGATGCTAAGTTGAAAATCTGACATGATTGAAGTGACCGCGACATAAACATTCCCACTCCATATTTAGCCACCATGTATGTTGTTGATTGCAGTAAAATGGCATCAAAACAAAAGACAGCAAAGCAACTGCGACTCGGTAGAGCTAGCAGCTCATTACATGACTGAACAACTACTAATCACCCAAGGCAGTCAGCGGGTCAGTGATAGTTTTACGACAATCCAACCATTACCTAAAGACTCAAGAGAGCAGTTTGCAGAGTTTAACATCGCATTTTAAATCTTGATCAAATTATAAGTATTGTTACATGAAAAGTATTGACTTACGCTAACTGTTTCAACAATACTGGCACCACTGGAGATGAGATCTTCGATGACGAGACATTTTTGTCCAGCCATTCCATCTTTTACACCTTCAATTAAATTTTTCAAACCATACGCTTTTGCCTCTTTCCTCCTAATGACCATATTCTGACCTAATTTGGTCGCAACTAGAGTGGCCAAAGGCAATGCTGTGTAGGGCACACCACAAAGAATTTGGCTTTCCAATTTTTTGGATACAATGAGTTCACGGAGCAATTCCGCTACGAACATCTGAAACCCAGAGCAAAAGTAATGTAAGAAAGAAAAGTAGAAGTTTAGGTTCAGTTCAGGGAGGGGCTACAGCAAATTTTGCAATTTTTTTAAATGTAGATAACGGAGAAAAAAAAAATCTAGAATCATTAATAATAGGATCTGTCCAAACTGCAACTTTTGACGTTCAATATTAACGGAGATATTGCCCTGCGAAAAGTCAGGTTTTAGACGTCATCCACCGCTGCAGTGACACCCTTAGTCTCTTCCTCTTTTGTTCCATTAGTGATGCAGAAGATCCAACACAAAACTTCAGCGACATTGAACGTAAACAAACTGAGGTAAACTGACTGACTGCTTAATCTCTTCGCGGCGAGAGCTTTAACTCCTGATGGGAAGGATCTTTAAGGTGCGGATACGTCTGTTTCTTGAGTTTGTTTACATTTAAAGTTGTTGAAGTTTTGTGTTGCACCCTCTGCATCACTGATTGAACAAAAGAGGGAGAAACCAAGGGAATCACTACCGTGGTGGATGATGTTGAAAACCTGACTTTTCAAAGGGCGATATCACGGTTAATACTGAACGTAGAAAGTTGCGGTGTGGACGGATCATATTAGTTTTTTCTAATTTACATGAATCAAGCATCAAAACACGATTCTGTGACCAGCGCAACTGACCCATTGATGTAAAATAAGATTAGGATTTTACCCAGCTCCATGGTACCTACGTACAACCACTCTTTGATGTATTACCTGAGCATAAATGCTTTAAGTCAAGTTTATCATTGACACTATCTTAGTTCATTACCTACTAAGAAGATGGTTTGGTGGGTACTAATTACTTACATGCATTTCTGTTGAGCATACAACATTGCGAAGATCAACGTAAAAGGGAGATATTGCACCACTTTTCAAAGTGAAAGTGCCCAGTTTCAAAGCACCAGCCTCATAGAGTTGTACAGCGAATTGGCGTAACTTGCTTTCCATCTTGACGACCTGACAAATCAATAGTTCAGATTGACTTAGTGAAAAAGCTAGTCACCTCATTGAAATTAAAGTTACTCCTGCAAGAATTCAAGAGGTTTATCGTGACTAGGTGAAAGAATTGCTGCTGTTTCAACTCTCTTTCGTAATCACCTCCTCAATGGCCCGCACCTTGCAAGGCTTGCTGATCAAAGATTTTGTTGTTCAATGTTACTTCCAGAACTTGGGCCTAGAAGGCTGGCAGTTTACAACCGTCATGACTTCTCGTTCCAGCAGCCTGATTGTTGAAATTTTTTGTTTGTTGGGACAACATAGGTTAAGAGGCGGAGCGTGATTGGTCGGCTATGTCTTATCGCTGCTTTGTCGTGCCTTTGTCAAATGGGATGATCGACATAGTGTCGGAAACTTAGGAGGTGCCGATAGCTTGTCTAGAGTTCAACCCGACAAAGCAGCGATAAGACATAGCCGACCAATCACGCTCCGTCTTTTAACCTATGTCATCCCGACAAACAAGAAATTTCAATGATCAGGCTGCAGGCAAAGCGCGTCTAAGCACTACCCAAAGTAAATCAGGGACAAGATCGAGAAGATAATCTTCAGAGTAAATTTAGAAGTTGGAAGAAATTGATGCACTTTTGTGATAAAATAGCAGTATCAAATTAGTCTACGTTAGTGTGCAAAAAGAGGAAAATGAGCAGAGTTCGGAATTAAATTGACAAAGCTTACTTAAATAAGTACCTGTTGCTTCCCTTATCAATAAGAGCATCATTCTTGTCAAATTAAAAGAAGGGACTCAAACTTACCAGATTAAAAATTCTTGAGTGGCAGCAAGAAGACGAAATGTAAACGCACCTAATAAAAACAAAGACAGCGACGCAAAGTGGTTGATTTATGTGATGGGGGGAAGTTTTCCACGTGCATTCGATGAATTTTCAGAATTTTTCCGGGTTCGTTGTCGTTCGTTTTCATTCATTGTGCCTAGAACTTGTGTCAGCCAATCAGAGCCCAGTTCTGAGATGTCTTGAAAGTTACCGCGAATGCCTATAGATAGCAGTACAGTAGAACTCAATATTTAAGCGCCAATTTTAAAATCGACACTTGATATCATCACCATTCACCTTGCGAAGATTCCTCTGTATATCAACATTTGAAAATATTTTCCCACATTTAAATGCCTTGAATTTTTTTAAAATTTTCTTTACAGTCGAAAATAGAAGACTGGAAATTTATACCTTCAGCGGTGTGTTGCCAAGGCTGTGCATTGGGCATGTGAGGATAATATAAGTATACATACTGAGAATCATTAATTAATTTTTGGTCTCTTCAAATCAATGTCCTAAATGCAAAACCGCATATCTCCATTTGAAACGTTGCAAACTTCCTCTCATACTTTACATTTTCTTTGCAAGACCAGTCAGTGTCAGTGAAAAGTTCCTTGATTTAGCTCCTCAGTTAGCAGAATATTCTGTATGAATTTCAAAATATAAAGTTTGCTTGTTTTTCTTCGAAAAAATGTTATAGGAGCAAAATTTTTCAAAAACCACTATAGAGATACATGGTTTCGCTCTTTGGCCATCAAAATGCCAAAATTTTACCCGAAGAGTCATAAAAATAAAAAAAGTATCCTTCAGCGGTCCTTCGCCTAAAAGTTTGGACTGAGAATAGATTAATGAAAGGTAGGTAGATGAAAAACATGAGAATGTAGCTGATTTTCCATGTATTTTATTGAACTTTTTATACATGCAAGAATAAAATTGCGTAAAAAGTAGTTACGGTGATCTTAGATTAGGAGTAATACAATCAGCATCGAATTTGTTCAGGGCAATAAAAATGGAGGCAAGTCTAGCCTCTTCACAAGTAATATAAAAAAAAGGCATAAAAAACTAATATAGTGATACATTTTTTGTTTCTGATGTGATCTTGTACTTTCACAAGATAAACTAGTTACTTAACTGAAAGCTTTAATATTGTTTTAGTATACAAACAGAATACAAATTATTAGAGCTACATTACGCAATCACTTGTAAACTCATAATAAAGGGTATATTTATTACCTGACACAGTTACTTGACTTGATGACAGATTAATGTATTCCTCGTTTGTGATTAACAAATTTCCTAACTTTCAGCCCTCAATTATCTTTCCTACACATCTCATCTATTAACATTCTAACAGTGCCTTAAGCCAGATACCAGGAGACAAAAAAAATATTTATCTAGCATTTATGTTAATCCATGCAATAGATTGATGTTATCTCCTCTCCATCATGCCAATTTTTTAATATCTTTTGGTTAATTTTAGATGATTTTTAAAAAATTGATCCACAATTAATATTAAAATACTTATCTCACAAAACAACAAAAAATATTGTAAAAATGACATCTTAAGGATTTTATTTGATTAATTCCATCACCCAAAAAGTGGGGCTGTTATCTGCCGCGAACTTGCCCTTGCAATTAGTTTCAGTTACTTGTCCTTCAAATTTTTGAAGAAACCCTCAAAGGCCATCCTTGCAATTAGTTTCAGTTACTTGTCCTTCAAATTTTTGAAGAAACCCTCAAAGGCCATCCAACAATAACGCAAAAAACGTCATACATCGAAATTAGTTTGATGTGCGTTGGAAAAATGAGATCTAAAACGTTTGATGTTAGAGTCAACCTACACTACTTAAAATCTGATTTCATTAATGATAACAGGCTTTTTTTTTCGTTGATAGCATCGGTTTTAGTTTTTAAAGCATTTCAGCTGCAAGACAGTTTTCAGTCAAATTTGGACGAATTCACATTTTTTCAAAAGTTTCCGAGAAGCCGCACGATGTGCACGTTCGTGTGTAATCATCATCGTCTGCATTGTATGTTTCTGCTCCAAAAGTGTGCTCATGAGCAGCTGCTGCAGTTGTTTTGTTGAATAGACTACTTCTTACATTCATTCGCAAAGCTGAAAAAGAATGAATGGATCATGCTTAAATGAAAATGAGATCTTCATAATGAGAACTGATAGGATAATCAGTTTTAAATAAAAACTGCAGTTTACCAAAAGGTATTGAAGACTTCTCTCCTTTCACCAGATTTAAACTTTAAATTAAAGAGGTGATGTAAGTCAGTTTCACCGATCACAGAATCAAGCTTTGATGATTTAAGCCTGTGGATCAACAAAAATAAATCAGATCTGTCTGCTCACCAAATTCCTACATTCAATATTAAGGAAAATATTACCCATCAAAAAGCACAGCGTATTACACCATCCACTCCAGGTGCAAGCAGGAAACTAAGCTGGGCTCACTGACTGAGTAAGATTTACTGATGAGGTCAAAAAAAACCCAAAACGTTTTAGATCTTTCTGGGTGACCCCAGCTGAGTATTCCAATGTATATGCCTAATGCCTAAGCTGAATACTCTACCCCTCCGTCTTGCACTGAAACACACTAGATGTTTTGACTTCAGTTTTCATGCAGAATAGTGTAGACCAAGCACTAATCTTCCATCCCCCCGCTAATGAACCTCCGTTCTGCGAAAAAAATTGTTTAGAGGAGCAATTTTTGCAAAGTTACACCTAGATAGCATTATTTTGTTGAGTTTTCAACAGAAAATGTTTTCTAGAATCTCAAAGCAACAGTTGAGAGAACCTTAGTCATTGTAATCTAATGATTATGAGCTCCAGACAAGGCAGGTTTAAATCTAAATGACTTTTTCTCCAAACAATTTCAACAAACAAACTTCAGCCGACATGCTTGTCTCGGTTGATCAAACAGTGAAAAAGAATACCACTTGCTTTGTAAATATTGAAGAATGCCCTATAATTTCACTTAAAATGTCATCCAATCCAATCCACTTAAAACCCATCCATTTTAAATGACTTATCCTGATTACAAAATGTTAGCTCCACGACAGAAATACTTATAGACTGTAGGTCAAAAATTTTTAACAAATAAAAGAATAGAGCATTTGTTTGTAAAAAAGCAAGGGAAAATGCAATGGCTCATATGCTATTTTCTGTATCTCTTTCTAACTCAAGAGTCTGTTGATAGGTAGAACTTACCTTTTTTTTGTTCTCTAATAATTACATGTAAAAAGAATCAATTCACTGGCTCAGCCTTTAACTGCCTATACTCACAACCATCATGCTTTGAACCTATTTCTTACACTATCATTATGTATCTGTACATCAATACCTAATACGCAATAGAAAAGTTTTCCTTTGAAATGTTTTCTATAAAATTGTATCTTTATGAAGTTATTAACACAACCGCATTGCAAAAATATTGATGGAGATTTTGGATGTGCCTTGAATTATGTTCAAATTTTGCAAATTCCAGAAAATTCTTTATCTACTTATTTTCACTGAATTTAATAAAAATTACGAATTTTCATAAAATTTAACTTGATCCACTAAAATGGAGGCACTTACCTTTCATATTATTTTGATATTTCTTTATTTTTGATTTAACACGCTTCTCTTCTCGCAGTTCTTTTTCTTCTGCAAGTTTCTCCTCTGTTCCCCAAACTTCTAGTGCTCTTTTCTCGACCTAAAAATAAAAATTTGCTTGCTGAAAAGATGACAAAAAGAAAACAACACCGAGAACTTTTGCTGAAGTTCCCCTGTTTCCCTGGAAATCTCTTGTGCCATTTTGCAGATGAAAATCCAGGAACTCACTCAGGCTGCACTTTTTACAAGCCATCAAATGTCCATAGTAAAACTAGAAAACATGTAAGTTTATAGCAGGATTTAAACATTTTCTCTCAGGTTTTTAACTTTCAAAGAAAGAGAATGTCTGAGCAACAGACCATTGTTTATGGCATAATGATGAAACAACCAACATGCATGATCAATGATCAAGTGCAGAGAATGGCTAATGACAGGTTGCTAAAAAAGGCCCTCAAGTATGGAAGAAGGCGTAAAGGGCACCCAAAGAGAGAGTGGAAAAATGGTATTCAATGAAAAATGGTTAGGTTCTAGATTCCCCACCCTGAGAGTTATGGTTCAGTAGAGAACAGTGGTGGTTACAGGTCCTAAAGGCTTAAAGGCGACAAATACATATGTTTGTAAAATACATTTTCCCAATCTCAACAACAAACAAAAACTTCATGTTGATGAGGAAACTGTAAAAAAGTTACCTCCACCGGCAAAATTTAAAGCTTCTGATCTCGTTTTCCTTTTTTAAAATATCATCATTTATACTTCTCCATTAGACATTTTTCAAGATTTTTCTTTGCCCTTTAATGAACAAATACTATATTTATAAATTCCATGCATAAATATTATATGGACGTTGTGAGTCAGCAATCACATACCTCGGTTTGCAATGTTGCAGACTTACTGACATACTTCATTTTATAACGGAAAACTATTCAAAGGCAATTCTTTAAAACTGCCATGATTTTTCTTCTCTGTACGAAGAAAATTCTGCAAAAACTTCAAGGAATTATGCCAATTTGTTCTCCTTTAAAAAAATAACATGGAGGTAGAAATTTTCAGACACCGCAAATGAGATATGTGATAGCGGACTTACGCTGTCAATATGCGTAGTATTCTTGTGAAGAAGAAACTAAACAGAAATTTTGGGACCTTTATTCTAGACGCATTCTTTTTTTTAATTCACCGCCGGTAAGTATATTTCATCCTAGGCTCCACCTCTGTCTTCAATTGGTGATAGATGTCATTTTTAAAATCGTTTTAAAAAAAAAATCAAATTAAATTTATATTTCAGATGTTTACCACACTTGAGAGAAATACTTAAGTGCAGAAACTTTCTTACCTGTAGGTGTAAATAAAGCTTCATTTCACCCCATCTTACGTTGTGAGGGTTCTTTCTGACAATAAATTTTAATGGAGGCTCTCTTTTTTCCAAATCACAGTCTTTCAATAAATATTCGTTTTTGGCATCTGTTTTAGTAATTAGTGTATGTTTTTCATCCTGGTCCCTGGAAAATAGTGACACTAGTTGAGAAAACAGCTAATATCAATGATTACATGTATTATAAAATTGACCACTGAGTAGATGGATGTTAAAAGAGTCAAACAAGTGTAGATGGGAAAAAATTATGTAAGGACTCAGGTCGTGCACCCTAAATTTCAGGGATGCAGAATCTTCAATGCTTGTACATTTTCGCACGCCCGCTAGCTTGCTTCCCACTTTTGTCTCATCATTTTTTCAGAAAATTTCCCACCGATCTAAAAAAAGATGATGTTTTTTGTCTGTTTTCCTTTGATTATTGACTTTTGGCCCCTCAAAGTCTTCCCTCCTTCCACATTTTTTGGAGCGTTTCTACATTTTTGAACAATACATGTGCTATGTCAATTGAGGTAGAATGTTTTTTCCATGAACGAAACCTGTGTTTCCTTCTTGAAACTTGATAATTCTAATATTGTAGATGACTTTTTTCACTTGTTAGCAGGGGTATTGTCTTTTTATGCACAGAGCTCATTCAAAAACAGAGGAAATCTTGGACTTCGGAGGGGATCACTTAAATATTTCTTCAATATCTTTTGAAGTAAATTAAATTTCCTCAATTTCTTTTCAATGTCCTACCTGCTACTGACAAATCATACAAATTTACAAGAATTTCTAATTTTACAGTCAGATAAACCCCAAAAAAGGACACTCCACTGACCTGCAGCCATCACAAACAGGATGATCAAAAGTCTTCAGCAGGTACGAATCAGCAAATTCTTTTTCACACTCCAGACAAGATGGCCTGTCCGATTCAAGAATTGGTGCTGGTTCTTTGACAAGATTAACCTGGAATTTAAAAAAATACAAAAATCTTAGAGGATAAAACTACATCAGGCATTGAATCGTTAATACTTTTTCCCATCAATTTCATTTGTGAATCAAATTCTGTCATTTTAACCATAACACTGTTTAAAATGAAGCAAAGAGGCATATGTTTGTGAAAAGGAACTACAAAAAATTAGCAAAAATACTAAAGAAAAACATTAAGCTGCATATTTTCATTAAATTAGATATGCAAATGAGGCTTCCTCATCATGCTATTATCATAACATTTTTCGTTGGATTTTGTCGTTCTTAGGAATTTGGTCTGAAAATGGACTCTAAACGAGATACTCGTGAAAAATCGAGCGTGGGCATGAATTCTCCATTGCCTCTCTGCAGTCTCTTCGAGTGCTTGGGACACACGCTCTCTCCCCTTCCCCGTCCGCCCATCATGGGGCTCCGAGAGACTTGCCTCGCTCCGCCAGTACTAAACCGAGCCGAACGCACGGTCTACGTGATTCAATGTCTTTGATGGGAACCCACCTCATTGGAAAAGAGGAACATACATACCTTCCCAGAAGACTCAGAGCAAAATTCCTCTTCTTCAATCAAAAATCCACCTCCAGTATCTATAAATTTAGTTCCTTGATCATTGAAAGTACTCCCACTTGTGGTTTTTATGTTTTCAACTAATCTAAAGATCAGAAACACAGGGGCAGAAATGAATAAATACATTGCAGTAGTGATCGGTTTCCTCCTCTTTCTAATGAAGAGTACAGCCCACTGATTTTATGCCGATGATGAGTGATTAAATTAAAATATCTTAGATGTATAATAGGTCCATCAACTCAATGCTAAAATGTTCATAGGTGATGTCTATTACATATCGAGGTAGCTTCCCTTTTAATCACTAGGACTTGAACTGACGGTGAGCTTGAAATTTCGCCATTGCACAAATAAATTCATACTTGCTGCAGCTTTGCTGATCCAATAATTTCATGCACTCTTTTTCTTTCTTTTCCAAAGATACTTACCAAGGCACCAGGAATTTTCCAAGAAAGGTAACATAGTGGAGGACTATAATACTTACTGTAGCTGAAACCTTGAGGGACAAGTGTTCTAGACAACAGTACTTTAGTGAGTAAAGCATAAGTGAAAAATCTATTTGTATCGATTTGGAATTTAAGACCATCCGAGTATTACTTACTTCAGCTACTTTGGAGGGAACCAGAGTCTGAGTTTAACTTACGAGAGGCAGGGGGTGGGTCGAGCCAAGTCTTGTTTCAGCCTCCAATTTTTCAGACTTTCTTCATTATTATCAGATGACATTCGGGGAAACATGATCAGGCCAACCTTACATAATTCAAAAAGGGATGGGTAAAAAGTTGTCTTATAGGTGCCTTACAAGGAGAGGAGCTCATGTTAAGAGCATTGTTTCTGGAACGTAAGTATAGAGTGTTACTTACGGCTTAAGATAAGGATGAGACACCACACGAGACTTCCTTAGGAGTATAGCTTTTTGTCTTTTCTCTTCAATCCTTGCTCTGTCATAAGGCGTCAAAGATGATTTGGTGCTAGCTGTTGAGGAGGAAGCTTCTCCGTTGCTGAGAGGCTGTGAATCAGGTGTGGAAGATACATCCGCCATGACAGAAGAGTTAATCAAACAAAAATCTGGACCCTGAAATAATGAAAGAAAACTTCATTGATGCCAGTACGGTTCTCTATGCGATAGATGATGGAAAAGAGTGAGATGAGGCATGTGACGAAGTGACTTAAACCTAAGTGCGAATCGTTAGAGTTTACTTACAAAAAACAGATAACAACAGAGAATAAATAAAATTATCTTCAGATTAATGAGAAACTAATTCACCGAGATATTCAAGCAGAGGCTTCCTATTGAAAAAGTACAAAAAAAAACACCAACTTTCCCTCCCTCGCTCTCAGAAGCGGCTTTTTCGAACTTTATATTTGAGGTTATGTTATTGTTGACTTACCTAAGTTCGCGCATGGGACGGGGGAAGGGGTAAAGTTCAATGAAAACAAAAACATGTTGTGGGCGAGTACGTGATCAAGTTAAAAATTAATGAATTTCTCTGTGTTTGTCTCAAATCTCAAATCTTAACATATTTAAATATTGTATCTGAAGTCCTCTTCCTTGCTTCGACTTTTTTAAGGTTCTTTCATTTTTTTACCTTAGCTACTTAAGCAGTGAGTTAATCAGAGCCAAAAATATCAAGACTAACATCTCACTCCTTGGTGCGTAACAGTTTCTTTATCTTATCCAAATTGGATTATGCTATCAACAGCATCGACTTAAGAATTTCCCCACCCAACCACTCAATGATTATGACATTACATACCTTGTTCGGAATCGATAACCAAACTCTGAAGTTCATGCTTGAAGTTGTTACAAACTTAACCACAAAGTTTCTCTCGAAGATCCGAGTACACATTCATTTGTTATTAATAGCCGTCAAAAATTTCAGTATGAGATGGAATTCGATTTTGCGTCATTGGAAATTTTTTATTATCTCCAATTTTAAAAGGTACTCTCGTCATCTGATATTGCTGTACTGTGATGAGATTAACTCATACTTCAAAATTATGAAAAATTTCCCTATCCTAAAAACTTCCAGAGAGTGCATTTTGACTATACGCATACTCCATTCGGTGGAATTTTCACTGTTAGGTATTGGAGGCATAGTGTGGAATCGTGCTCAGCCCAGATCTTTTCTAGGTTGTAGAACTGAAGGACTTGGAAGACAAGATGCATAAGTGCAGTTTTGTAAAAAAATCGAGACATCAATGATTTCAAGTAAAACTAGTCCTAATACATATTCTATGTCAAATTTGCACCCAAATTCAAATTTTTTAGTATGAAATAGTCAGTTTGGACTTTCTTTCCGCCGCAAGGATCCATGGAAGTTCAAAACTTCAAACACGTATTTCTCGAAATAGCAAAAACTGCACTTACGCGCCTTGTCCTCCAAGCCCCTCAATTACCGATTGTGATGAATTCCAATCATGAAATTTGGTGAATATGATTTATCAATATTTTGCTAATAATTGATGCCTTTGTCATAGCATTTTATCCTTGGATGACATTAGACCAAGCATTTTGGTCCTAGAAAATTTATCCAGCAGAACAGGAGTGTCCATCCAGTTTTTTGAACGTGGAAAGTTGGTACTACCCATCTAACCAGCAAATCAGAGGAGACGCATGCACTCAGTCTGTTGCTTTACATTTCTCTAAGTAGAACTTGTCCAGTGTTCCTCAGTAGTCATACCCGTTCTCATGCTTTTTTCTTTCTTTTTTACAGAATTCTTGAAGATTTTTTTTCAACCCAAGATATGAATATTCCTATGGACGAGGTTATCAAATTAAACAACTTAACAGCTGGCAGGGATAAATTAGCCAGGTTCGTATGGTTTCCATTGATGTATTTGAAGTTTTTATGGAATAGATATTGAATATATTTGGTTGTATCATCTGAAACAAGGCTTTTAAAGTGCCAAAATGGGTCAGTAGCATAACATATCTGCAGAGTACCTATTCCCCATGCAAAGTTTAATTTGAAGCAACCAAGACGTCCACTAAAAAGGCATTTCCAAATCGAATATACCCAGCTAATTAAAATTTGACCAACGGAAGACTGATGATGAGATGATGTAAGTAGGCCATGTCTTCTGGTGGGCTCTAGCCATCCAGCGAATGCAGAATTCCCTCACCTGCCTACATTATAACAGGCTGCCAAAAATATTATTCTAAGTACATTCAGATTCTGTTAACTTTAAAATGGTTTTTTTATGTCATTTTGAGAAGGGTAAAATTTGAAAAAATTACTGGGAGCTGAACTCGTGAAGCATTTGAACGAAATGAATTAAAAAAATAAAGATTAAGGATCATCATGACCCATTTCATCCTAGTCCTTTCATTAATCTCTTTTTTTCAATCCCATGATTTTGGAGGAGAGGAGAGGTTAAAAGAACACCCTCTCAATTATGATTTTACATGGTCAAGCCAAGAATTTCTCAACAATTCAAATCGCTCAATGTTGTGAAAAGGCTTTGCCTAATTTGTTAGACATTTCAGATTCAAGAGATTCGCCATGAAAAATTAGGAAATGGCTGTTTTAGGCTTTATGGTTTAATTTTTTTCTAGTAACCACTTCTCTACATTGTAAAAGCCTCTCAATAAAAGGCCGTCTGACACCTCCTAACAACTATCATCACTTTCCTTACCCTCTTTTTTTTCCTATTCTTTTTCATGCATAGATTCTTATGGAAGTTTCCCTAAAAATTAATCAACTCTCCAATTTTTTCACAAGGTTGTTGCAGTATGCCAGCCGTGCAGTATGGTACTTTTTACAGAAACGGAACCTCAATCAAAAATCCATGGATAAATTAAAAAACCTTGAGTATCACCTCAGCACATTTCGTAAACGTAAGTTTACCACGTTTTGAGTGTTCAGTTTTATAAATTGCTTCTTTAGTTAGATTAAAATATTTAAGAAAGTGGAAGAAGATTGGGTTAGTTTCTCTTGATTAAGTTTTCAAAGCAAAAGATTCGCTCGAGTCGAAGAGCAGTCCCAAATTTCATGCAGCAGATCCAACAAATGGAGTAACTAGAAGAAAGTACCTACATGAGATATTAATGAAAGAGGCACCTGTTACATCCATCAAATAGATTTTGCAAAACAGTAAAAGTTCAAAACTGTAGTTTTTAAGGAGGGAATGTAAGACTCTCTGGATTCTAAAATGAGGTCTTTTTGTGGATATCTTCAAAATTTAGAAAAATAACTTATCAACATTTAATGAGTCTCATAGCCATCATTGTGAAAGATCAAAAGATGACCAAGGAGATACTTTGTGTCGAAAGCATGAGGTCAGTAGTCAGAAGATCCTCAATTTGTTCTAAAAGACCAGAGAGAAGCTAATTAGTCCACTTTTTTCTGTTTACATGGAAGGCAATTTACTTCACCTTTCAGTTTTTACTGAAGGCCCCAAAGTGCTGACCATCTGCAGAAATTTGGCGTTTTTACCAACATTCCTCTGGGCCAAACGTCCGATTTTATAGCAAGATGCCTGGTTTCTTAAACTTGCCATATCAGGCATTTTCCACACCTCTGGTAGTATTTATTTTTTCAAGGGCTTATTTTCCTATTAAAACAACAGTAAAGTCTAACAAGAGGAGGTCAGAGGTTACGCAGTGTCCGACCAAGATTTCAATCATAGTCTGGCCAAAAGTTCCTTGTACTTCAAGTACTTCAGTTTTTTGTCCCTCTAAGACAAAAAACTGTGATCTCAATTATCTATTTCTGTGATGAGATTCTACAAATAAAGGGCAATACCTAGGGTAATGCATTCATTCGAAGGAAGTTTATACTGAACTCTTCAATATAATGGACGCCCATATTTAAGTATGCCTCTAATTTTCATGTGGTTCCATATCCTTTGCAGTTTTACGACTTGGACGCTCCTTAGATGTATTGTATGGTGCTTTAAATTCTCTTCACTATTCTGATCGCATTGTCAGTGCAACAAGTTCTATGTCTAAAGTTGCACATGCTCTCTACTTGCTTTGTGACCATATTATTTGGTTCAGTCGTGTGGGACTGATGGATGTGCGCAGTGATCAGTGGTTGGAGACTGCCAACAGGTATGTGTACTTCCTTTTTTCTAAATTTTGGAGACCTTTCACTCTGCACATTGACATAAATATTAGTTGCAAGGAAGCAGACCTTGTGAGAGTAAGTAACAAGTGATCCGTTACAAAAATATTTTGTCCCTTTTTTCATCAATCTTAGTTCATACTCTGAAAAATTGGTAGGAAATATGTAGCAGTGGTTTTAGTAAAAATTTTTACCAGCGATTTAAGGGTTTAAATATGAAAAGCAAGAAATGCATCAAAGCCAATGTGTCAACCAATGTACAGGACGGGAGAAATCGAGAAAATTCCAGGGGAATGATTCATAAGTCTCTATAGGTCTCCATAATCCTTGTAACAGGTGAATTGTAAACTTGCTGCCTATTTGTGACACCATTAGAGCCTAAAATACAGGTAAGCATTGTGAGCAGATTCCACGTGTCTTTACTCTCAGTATAGAAAGGCTCCTCAAAATTTTGGCCCCAGGACTCTTCATTTGAACAACATAAAAATAATGTGATTAAACTGAACGCATACCTCCCAAAAACGATATGGCAACAATTTCTACAATGCATAGAAATAGTGTATGGCCAAAAGTTAAACAGAGTAACTCGAATCAACGGCAAGGTGCAAACGTTGCAACTTGCATATTATAACCTAACTGGATGAGGCTTGGCGCCGTGCTGAATAGTGATTCAAGACTGGAAAGTTTTTCGGAATACCTATGTTCCTCACATTAAGGGTCAGAGGCAAAAACATTTTAGACAAATACTTCGTTGAGCAAAGCCACTGGAAGAATTTTTTTGAAGAGACTTTTATCAGTGGGTCGTGGGTAGAAATCCCTTAGACAAACTGTTTTTCGACATTACTTTAATTTCAAAATTGTTAGCTGATAATATGTTGGACTAATCCAACACTGGAAAAAAAACACATCGGATCTTGAGTTCAGACTCTTGAAAACATCGACAAGAAAAAATACTCTTGATTAAATCAGATTTAAGCTTAAATCAAAAGGAAATCCACTCAAATTAAGAGGCTTGGTTCTTGATTTAAGCTTAAATCTGATTGAATCAAGAGTATTTTTTCTTGTAGATGTTTTTAAGAGTCTGGCCTCTAGATTGAATGCGTTTTTTTTTTCAGTGAACCTGCGAGTTGATTGATGATGATTTTTATTCAAAAAGTATACTATTTCTGCGGTAGATGCACACTTTATGCATAAACAATGGAAGCAACTATACCTGCACATCTAAATTAAAAACTTAAGCACCTGAAAGAAAGAGCCCCCGTCCCCGCCCACAATAATCTGATGTAAAATGCCATAATACCCAGAAAATTAATTCAAATAAAATAATAAATCAATTAAATTTAATGAAATATGTGCATTTGAAATGTTCTATTGTACTTTTGATTAAGGAAGAGATTTGACTATTGTATAGCTCTCAAATTCATTCAAATAGTAAGTTACACTCATTAATAGATGTGTCAGTCTACTTTCAGAAAGAAATGCCAAACCGCAGCTTAAAAAATCATTAAATTTAAATTCTAATTTTCATATTAAATTTCATTCTGTTCTAATGAATTCATGTACTTCAGGCCAGCTTTGGATTCCAGTTAAATCAGCAAAAATATTAAACTAATGAAAACCAATTATTTTGTAGGTATTGGCTGTATTCAATTGTCATGAGTCTAGTCCGTGATCTATATGAACTTCAAAAAATTTTGAAAAGTCAACAATACAAATTCAACACCAAAAACTTGTCACTGTTTTCTCGAGAACTATCCCGCTTTGCTGTGGGTCACAAAGATGTAGTTTTAGACAGTCTGAAAAATCTCTGTGATGTCTTCATTCCATTAGCCGCATTGGGCTACGTCAAACTCAGTCCAGGAACAGTTGGAGTTTTAGGTGTGATCTCTTCTGCAGCTGGTTTGTACGCTTTAATTGATCCTTTTGCAAAGCTAGCCCCCTCTTAAAATGTTGCTTCTGTGACAACATCTTCTTTATAAATGGTGCATCCATTTTTTATTCTTAGATGACATTTGAATTTTCGGAGGTTACAAATCTCAAAATTTAATTTTTTAAAAAAAAATCTATGCATAAACAAATAAAACAATAAACAACAGAAGCTTGGATTCTAAGAATGAGATGTTTTCTATCCATTACTTGTAATTTTTTTTGCAGCCCAGAAAAACTTTTCCACATCCTCCAACAACTTATTTGAACCACATGTATAGGTGATGTGACATGATTATGAAATGACTGATGAAATGTGTGATAAATGTTGAATCAGTATGAATCATTAAATTATGTATTATTAAATTTGGTATTTGAAATGAAAATATTTTATCAGTATAAATGAAAATTGAATGATAAGGAATTTTATTCAATGAGTTCAAGGTATTTAAAATGTGGATGCATTATTTATAGAAGTCTTTTTTTTATCTGTTTATGTTTTTCTTTTCTTATAAAACAAAGGTTCAGGTCTAGATTTAAGTCAACAATCAAAGCAACCATTATCCATGGTTAATTTTTAATTATAAATAATTGGATCGTAACTATAAATCGATCTCTGTTTCAAAGCAGGGAATAATATCACCCTTTATTTATTTAATGTTGTTGTATCCTTGAGATAGGTACCCTCTACTTATATTGCAACCATTTGTCGGTTTCATGTACAAAAGCCCTTACCATTGTATACTTTGGAACCACATACAAAGCAAGAAAAGTATATCTACTCAGAGTTTCTTTAAAGTTACAACCTTTTTACGTTGCATGCCAATCTTATTTTAGGTATGGCTGCCTTTAAAAAATCTTTTCAACAAATTTCGTTCGGAGATTTAAGTAGAAAGAAAGTTGTTGCATAGCTCTCGATCAATCCTCAGATTTAGTGCCATGCAGTTTGGGTAAGATTAATTTTTTTAAATTTTTATACATCTGGCAGATTATTAAGGAAAATAAAAAAGATCAAAGATCAAATACATGTTGTTCCAATCATAAATCGACCCTGACAGTAAATTTGAATTGAATTATCAATCTCATTTTGGGTTTTTGACGGTCAATCATCGTTACGAATATGCCATTGTAACTTTTCTTTAGATTGAATTTTCAGTTTTCGAAAACAATACATCTAGAAGCTAAAATTTTCTATTTAAAATTGTACAATCATACTCGTAATGCATTGCACTAAATCTAAAGAAGCACTCATAAACACTTGAGTGAAGCTTGTCCCAAAAATTATTCGTTAGCTACATTATTTAAATGGCTCTTGCTTTTACAAAAGTTTTTTTTGTAATTTGTTGTATTGCAGGCACATTGCTAATCATCTGGTGTTTTTATTGGTCTGATTTTTATACTTAAGTGGGATTGAAGGGAGTTATTAGCTATTTGGGTTGTGTAGAATGTAGTCTAGAATTTTTCTTTTTTTATGGAATATTTGTATGGCTCTAGCCACAAGTGATATCGAGTAGGTTTGATTTTGAACTCATCAGCACCACTCGGTGACCTCCTTTCCTAGTTTTTGTTCCTTCTTTTTGAAAGGATTTGTAATATTTCTGGTTTTGTTTACAAAATTATGAGTTGTTGATATTCTAGAAAACTCATTGGTTCAAGCCCTCAATTCGTATACCTCTTATTAAAATCTGAAATTATTTTCCATTTTTGAATTCATTGGGTCAGTCAAAAAAAAGGTTGAATAAATCTCTTTCATTGAAATTCTCTCCTTTTTTTGCACTCTGCTTTGTTTTGCCTCTTCGGCAAGTGGATCAAATAATTAAATGCTTAGTATTTTCATTACAGTTTTTACAACTCTAGCACCTCAAACTTGTGGTGTCAAGAATCTACAAAACGTTTTGATTTAATTTTATTTGTCTCTCATTTTTATCTTCTTTTGAATTTTTTTCTTGCGGGATTTTCAGTCGTGTGTGACTGCAGTTGACACAGCTTATATTTGTCGAAAAATACCTTCTTTCTTTTTTGTTGTTCCTTTTCTCTCTAATATATTTTGATCATTCATCGGTAAAATCATACAAATTCGAAACTTCTGTTCCCAACAAAAAATTTCATTCATTTGTTGAGCAGAATGAATCATTGAAATATTTTTTCTCTTCAGATTAGTTTTTGTGTTTCTCTTATTTCTGACTTATTACAAGCTTTGATCTTAATGCCCAGGATGAAGGTTGACTCAGGGAAAAAGAACATAATGTATTCCATTTAGAAATCATTTCCTCTTGGCAAATACTTTCTCCTTTGACAAGAACCTAATCTGATATATTTAATTCGTTTTTTTGTTTTTATTTTCAAGCACTCCATCATTTTTACTCTGTAGCAGAAATACTCTACGCATTTGAAAGATACATTTTTTTAAATTTGCCAACAATTTTGCTGTTTGGGCATCCAAACCTTACTGATTTTTATGTTCAATTTTAATTATGGACGTATGGTCTGAAAATAAAGTTTTACTTCTATTGTTCTTAGACTTGCATCCTCTCATTTAACTCACAAAAACACTGGTTCAAGCTTGCACAAAAATTTCGGTTTATTGATATCCCACTGGACGGACTATTCAGAACCATTTATTTGAAAAAATCTATTTATCTGAAAAGAAATACTGAGTGCTGTTGGTTGACGCTAGGCACAATAGTTTCGGCGCTTGAGTATTCCTCTGCGTAACAGTAGCATCATTTTGGCACAGTGCAAGTCTGGCAATGTTTTCAACTTTTTCTTAATGCAAAAAAAAAGAAGAAAAAAATCTTAGCACAAAAACGACGAAGCACAAAACTCTAAATGGGAAAATAAGTAATTTATTTTTTATACAGGCTTATAAATATTTACAAAGACTTTCAGATAATTTTTAAATACTTACATGCAATTTATATTGCAAATAATCATTTATAAATTATTTATTTTCATAATTTGTACAGAATTTATTTACAAGTCTACATTCGAAAATTTGCTATTTTTTTGGTTCTCATTAAACTTTTGAATGAAATAACAACTGTATAGAAATAGTAATCAGCTAGGTTACAAGACATTGAGAGTAATAGAATACATACCTATATTGTCGTTCCTACGATGTAAGGGCGTATAACTATTTCCATACAAACTCCAAAAAGCATTGAGTCTTAGCATGATAGGGCTCATGTGGGAATAGATAAAATAGATGCCTTTACATCGGAGGAACAACGATATGTGGCTCTCATAATGAAAACTCCTGAGTTTGAATGAATGTCATACATCAGCTCGTTGTCATTACTTGACAAAATAAGAAAAAAAAAACAACTTAATTGGCTTGAAGCAATAAGACTAAATCAACTTAAAATGAGACAAAAGCCTCAAAAACGTAAATTAAAAAAACCCAGGACGCTTCACAGTGTTACAACTGCAGTGCGAAAAAATACGGTTGTAACACCGTGAAATGTTCCGGATTTTTTATTTTATGATTTTGCAGCCCTAGTCCCATCTGAAGTTGATTTTGCAAAATATGAAACTTATATTCTCAGTTTTCTTCAGTCATTAAAATTATTGTCTGTGTGATCCTTCAAATACATAGTAGTAAACAAATTATCATTCACTAATTATTTAAATTTGCTTCTTTATCTTATTTTTTTTTTCCTCTGCTAGATTTGCAGCGTGAGAGCTGAAGGTGAGATAAATATTTTTTATCTCTCTAAAAATTGGAAATCTTCGAATTTTTCTCATCTTCAGAACATGAACAATGCTAAAAAAGTTTGTAGCTGTGGTATTAACATAAATTTCGGTTTAGTTACCTAGTCTTACAAAAAAATTTACCACAGTTTTTTTACTTTTAATCCAAGATATGGCTAAATTGAACAATATAAAAAACGGTGGTTAAAACGTAAATTTAATTAGTAACGACCATAATGTGTCACTAGCTGAGGTAAGATCTTAAGCACTTTGCACATATTTTCTCTTCAAAATTTCACAAGAAAACAAATGACGCAACGGGAAGTCTGAAACTCAAATCCTTAACTAGATTTAACTGTTTACAGTCAACACTGGTTAAATGGCGAAAATGCAAACCAAATCATTTGTATAGTCTAATTTCTATTTTATCGGTGTTAAAACGACGAAAAGAAAAAAAGAACTTGCTAATGTATAACTCGTTCGAGATGACTTTGGAATATCTTACTATGTGTGTATCAAAATACTAATAATAACACTTGAAGAAGAGTCATGATCATGAGTTCAGATACGGACCTTAAATGCTGATTTCGTGTAAAATTTTGCAGTGCTCAAACAGAGAAATGTGTCCAAAAGTTGTAAACTCCTCTTAAAAGAACCATCAAAAGGAAATGCTCATCTTTGAATAGAATTTTTACAAATCTGAAAACTGATTTCTTCTGTGGCCAGCCTTTCATTATGACAACTGAGTCATTATTAACATTATTTACTTCATGAGAATTGGCATGAGTTGACATTTGTGAGATCAAGTTTTAGACTGTTGCCATCCAGTGCTTTGAAAATAAAATTAGGTGGGTTAGAGAATCCGGAAGTATGTATTAATTGTAGGAATTGTAGCTGAAACTGACCATCAAGCTTAAAACGACCATTAGGTCAACCAATCCTAAAGAGCCCTTAGAAATAGTGTTATACTGAATGCAAGCGAATTCTCAAAAGTAAAAGTTGATTCACTGCATGTATTTACGAGTGAAATTATTTCACCTCTTCGAAGTGAATTTGAGCATACTTCATTTGTGGAAAGTAAATTATAAAAATATTATTTCTGGATTCCTGAGGATCAATGAGTTTGACGTACATATATGAGGAATGATTTTGGTAGGCCGGTAATCATGAGAAGATGAGGTGTTAATTTTCTTAAAAATTATAAATGAAATGTTTTAAGTCAAACTTTTACGTATAATTATGAACTGTTTGCCTTCAATCTACCAAACATCATGGCTTTGAACTGAAGAAAAATGAAAGCATTCTAAAAAATTTACTAAGCCTCCAGCAGTTTTGACCCAACAGGTTTTTGTAGTGCCTAAAAGTGAAATCCAAGTTGTATCTACTCTGTTGTGGGGACGCACCCAATCTCATTCTATAGATTGAATAGTGTTAACTCTAATCAATGGATGCTCAGTTATGTGGTTGTAAATTATGGCAAATCTTTGATTTTTTGAGCACAAGAGAGCTTAAAACTTCATAAATCAAGGTGGCCCTCAGATACACTGAAGGTGCCAAACAAATTGGCAATGTAGATCATTGATACTGTGGAAAACAGGCCTTCAAGGATGGCATAATTTCTCAAAAACAAATTTTCTAGTCCCTAAAGTTCAGAGCCCATATGTTTTCTCCGAACATACCTCGAGAAGTAATCAGGCCTCCAGCATTTACAGCTTCCAGGGATTAAGAACCAGTCATAGTATAGACGGACCTGAAATCATTTATTAATTGAGGGTTAATAAACATGGAATCAGTCGTATGATAAGATTTTGAAAATTAAATTCGTATAGTCTTCATTCTTCCCTTTATCTTCAATGTATAAAAATAGAACTTTTGACGTTGAATGCTAATTATTGGTAAGAATTCTTTTGTACCTGAAAAACATGATGATCATTTATGTAATCTGTGCTCTGCACTAGAATGAAGTGGTAGAACCATGTTGTCAAACTTTAATCCATGTTCCAGAACTGACTATTTCTTGGAAGAAGGTTTTTTAATTAGAACATTATTCAATGCAAAATTTGGAACAGTAGTTCAAAGTATTTTTTTTTTTTTTTTTGGGCACATTTTGACCTTAATTTTGAAAAGCACATTTATCACCAAGGAAGGAGTTGGAAAAGTTGTAAATAAGTACCTTCTCTAAAGACGTTCAATGATAGGTATTCGTATGTGACTGTAGTTTCAGCAAGAAGGTCAGGTCCCAAAGTGGAAAAATGTGAGAGATTTTAATACATTTTAGGCACGTATTGAATTCAGAGAAAATGATGAAACAATTGAGTGACTTGTGTTTTTTTGAAAAAAGAAAGCAAATCTTCCGAGTAGCAAATGTGATTGAATAAAGTATGTTTGTGGACGCCGAATTCATAGAAAAAGGTCATCTGTTCCCATTAAATCAGGGTCCGTCTCTTGATAAAGCCCTTACAATCAGCTTTAAAAACACTGTTTGATAGGATCGGTACCTATCTCATCCAAAGACAATGTTTCATGTGGTCTCATCCAGCATCTCCTGTAGTTTTATACATATCGTGTAAGTTATCAGTCAAAGGGCAACATCAGTGTCAAAAATCATCAAACCATTTACCTGGAAGCAACCCAGCTGATCAACGCCATCGCAGTGTGAACGCTTACTGCTAGGAGTTGAGTTTTCAGAGCCAGCTCTTTTTTGTAAATATTGCTGATATTGTTGGAAGTCTTGAACTGCAGGTGGCTCCTCTCCAGCCACTGGAGTTCGATGCACAACTGGTTGCCGTCTATTTGATGGCAAGAAAGTGTCAGGGTAGAAAATTTCAGCTACAAGTAAACTTGCCCATCTTGGAGAAGATAGACAACCACCGTCCATGTAGTGACACTTACTTTGTCTGGAACAAAATTTTTTAGCTTAACTCAAAGTGAAATTTTATGAATAGTGGGAACACCTAAAACTTGCCCTTGGGAAGAAATTAAAAAATGTGCACTAAATTGGTAGTGTTTCAAAATGCAAGCGGCAACTTCATTTTTTTAAAAGGAAAATTTATCAATATATATACATTAAGCCGCTTTTATAGCGCAGCCTCGCGCTCTGCGACGCCCAATCGCCATTGCCCCCTATTCTCCCAGAGATCATCAGGCAATTGGCACCTTCTGATCTCCTCCTTTACCCCTTGTCGCCAACCTTTCATCGACCTATGCCACCTTGCCATCAACCTATTATCGTTTAAATAAATATTGGTATGTTCTAAAATTTTGAATTTTTTTCCTAATTTTTTCTCTGAAATTTTCTTACAAAATATTTTGTGTGAGGAGAAAAAAAAATCAGAAGAAGATTCAAGAAAAATGTTACTCTCTTTTTGTTTTTAAACATTTAATGAGCATAAACGGGAATATGTTATATATGCAATCCAAGGTTTTTAAATTCTTACCAGGTAATATTCAGTAAAACCAATCTTGGCTTGTACGTTTAAATAAGATTTTTCGGTGTGTTGAAAATACTGCCTAGATTCCAGTTTTCAGCTTTTCACGTTTGAAATGAGGATTGATTTGTTTAAAATGTAACACTGATTCTTTACATTTGAGAAATTTGCACTTACACGCATCTTGTTACTTCTACTGTTTGTGTGAAGTATCCTTCATATGGAATTTGAACCACATATCGCCAAACTCCTTGATAATTTCTGGCAAACACAGGTGTTGCATACTCCACCTTTGCTGGACAGGGAGTTGGTGGTCCATCTAATGGCAAACCATTGGTGCTGTCAGTCTTCGTTCGGTAGTCAAGTGACTCATCGTCCCTCCTCTCAATCATACCAGAGCCTAGAGGTCGTCCTTGGATTGCTTTGTACAACATGCACAAACTGCAAAAAAATAATTCTCATATCAAATTCTCACTTATTTCTCAGGTTTATACATTCCTATTGTGCTGTATACCTTCTTTGAACAAGCATAGAGGCATCATTTGCTAGGAGTGCAGCCATGAGAAAAAGAGGAAATTAATTTTATATTGCAAACTGTTACAATGAAATCTTATACAAAGTCTGGCTTCTCAAAATGTCTCTCTCATGGGTCTTCCTAAACACCAGTCCCTAGGAAAATTTGTAATGTTGCCATCGTAGCAGGGACTGTTAAGAATTTCCTAAAAAATGTGTACATTTTAATTAAAAACTCTTAATTAAACTATTAAAATTTATGAAGAAGGAAACCTTTTTTGGAATTTTTTTACGTAAATTTTACGAGAGGTCAAATTTAAGTACAATAGTCGTTTATAAAAAATCCCAAAAAGGGTTTCCTTCTTCATATATTTTAACAGCTGTTGCTAGTAGGGTGTACCTATCTAAAAACTATGGATAAAGCACAAAAACAAAGCTTGAATATACGAACAAGAGTGGTTACGTGATAACGGCTGGGGTCAGGTCGCCACTCAATTTTTTTCTTGTACCATATGCTTTTGCAGCTAAAAATGAGCTGGTAACAGCTCGAAACGTCCTGCCTTTTAGTGTTCTTTAATGTTTTAGCCTTGTTTTACCCATATCTTAATTCTCTCCTTCTTTATTCTAAAAACTAACATGCATATGAATGGGTCCATGATTATATCATGATGTTTATATATTTTTAAGATCTTATCCAGTGAAGGAAAATTCATTTCAATTCCCCTTAATATCATGATAGGTAATAAGTGCATTTCAAAGTAAAACAAGACTATACTTACATCCCTCCGCCATTGTCGCAGAATTTCCTAGATGTCCTCCTGGCAATAGTAATATTTACAGGTGGAGCACCTGTTTCATTATCGAGCTGAGGAGGAGGGTTTTTCATCTCCAGGCCAAGGGTTGAATTAGACTCTGCTGACCTCTTGGATCTACTACTGGGACTGTAACGAGGAGGTGGTAGACTGAAAAATGAAGATTAAAAGATAGTAAAAGGCAGAAATTCAAAATTACAAGATGTAACAATTACTGGGACTGTAACGAGGAGGTGGTAGACTGAAAAATGAAGATAAAAAGATAGCAAAAGACAGACATTCAAAATTACAGGATGTAACTATTACTGGGACTGTTATGAGGAGGTGGTAGACTGAAAAATGAAGATTAAAAAAAAAAAAAATAGGAAAAGGCACACACTCAAAATTACAAGATGTAACTATTACTTATACAGGGTGTACCAAAAGTCCGTCCCACCCCTGCTAACTTTTGAACGAATTGAGCTAGGGTAATGAAACTTTGGGAATGTTCCTATCTCAATGGGGACCATCCTTTGGGGGGGTCAAAATTTTGGTCTCCTCTCAGGGGGGGCGCGGGGGGCCCCCAACTTTTTTTTTTCAAATGGCAACCCCTATCTTGTGATACATCATTCGAAAGAGCATAAAAAACTAAGAATTTTGGCGCAAACCGCAGATCAATATCTTAATTTTTGACCGAGTTATGATAGGTCAAAGGTCAAATTTGACCTATTTTCAAAAAATCATAACTCCGGTTCAAATTATCGTAAAGAAAAAAATAAAACGGGAAAATCTACCAAATTGTGTCCGCTTTTAAGTAAAAATTGCAGAAATCACTTCGCTGTAATTTTAAGGGGGGGCTCGGACCCCCAAATACGTCAATTCTAAGGTCATTCAATTTTCCCGCGAAAAAAAACAATTTCCCCTAGATTTGCCTCCACATTATCTCAGTAAGGTCAAAATTAGTTCAACATCAATGCTCCCTGCGCCGCGCCGCTCCAGGCCGAATTGCGTGTTTAGTTTCCCTCTTAACTCGACTAACTAAAAGTTCTCTCTAGTATCACCGAAAGACGACAAAATTAGAAATTACTTTACTCTCAGGAAATGAGAGATTTTGTCGTCATTTCTCGTTTGTAATTTTTTTCTGAGTCCAATTTTTTTATTACACCTGCATTTAAAAAAATTGCAAAGCCGCCCCCTAAATTTGCCGCCACGGGCCGCGGCCCATTTAGCCACCCCCTAAATCCGGCCTTATGGGTGGACAGACTTTAAGATAGATGAGCCGAGAGTTCTTGGCTAAACAGGAATTTTATCTTTCTTTTTTTTCTTTTTTCTCCCGAGGCTTAGAACCGATGGCTGAAGTCTTAAAATGCATATCTCTGGTGTAAGGTTTCAAACTTTTCTCTCGTGTCTATTTTTCAAAAGAAAACTAGCCATGAAATATCCTCTTAAAATTCTCTGTAAATTTTTTTTGAAATAATGAAGTATATTCCCTGAAAATGTGTAGAAAAACTAGTTTTCTCTTAAAAAATGAAACTTGAGCGTGGATTTGCAACATCACAGTTGAAAATTCTCATTTTTTCGCTTTCGCCATGAATAAGTATCCTCTTTGGCACTTCCTTGACGTATCACCTCAAGCGAATCTTATGGCCATTGAGCTCCCTGCACATAAGATGTTTTAAAGAAGACACACTACACTGTCAATAGGGTTCAAGGAGCATCTTAATTTCTTAAGAATCCGATCTCAAGCACGAAGCTGAACTCTCACAAGAACAGTATACTTTTTGCATACCCGTTCAAAGGAAGGCAAATTATGATGTGTTGTCGGCTGAAGTACCACGTCTTGTAACGCAATAAGGAGTCGTTTCTTTCTTCTCGGCAAAAATCGCCCTGAAGTACCTATCAAACTGGAGGGATCCTCAAGATTTGTCCCAGTGAGGAGGAAGGCAACAGTGGCGTGACGTGAATTGCGATATATCGATTGTTATGCCATTTAAACCTGTGGCAAAGAATCGATTATTAAGGTATTCGCTGCGAACACCCTGTTTATCGATCCTTTTCCATAGGTTTAAATGGCATAACAATCGATACATCGCAATTCACGCCACGCCACTGGAAGGCAAGTATGTCAGGATAAACGGAGAAAATATATCGAAAAATCCCAGGAAGAATCGCGGGAAGGGTAGGGACCTTTTAAAGTTCTTCCTCATCCATTTTTAAAGTTGTGTTCGCGTATCTTCATAACGGTGTTTCAAAATTTCGGCTCCTACCTTATTTTTTCCAAGAGAAACAAGTAAACTTTATAGCTTGAAATTTATGCAGAATATTTTGCTAACAGAAAAGAAAAATTACTTCAAGAGCTTGAAATTGATGCAGAATATTTCGCTACCTAACAGAAAAGAAAAATTATGTCAAGAGGTTGCGCCGACCAGTTTTCCGAAGAAAAAAAAACGTTAGGAAGTCTGCGACGTTTCGAACGGAGATAAGTAGTTTCGCCCTTTGATCGTCGTTATTTTCTCCTTTAAAACATTCTTAATCTATGTTTATAAAGTGAATAAAACTCATAAAAGAACTTACTTCGTATAAGTTGTTGGTGCATAAGACTGGTACATCGATAGGTCTGGTTCTTGACGAGCAACTTTTGGCAGTGTCTCGTCTGCTTTCAGGATTGGTAAGGTTTTACTGAAAAATTCTAATGTTTTGTTTTTCAGAAGATCACTGAAACAGAAAATGAGATAAATCAACGTATGTACTAGGTATTACAATCTCGTTAGGTTTTTGTATCAGAACAGTTACCAGCCGTAATTGGACAGATGTCATCGGATTAGTTCAACTGCATTTTTTCTTGCCTAATGTTCTCTCATGTTTTATTTTTTGTACAATCATCATTCATCATTCCTTGTTGTGAATATCATATCGTCTTCTGCGTTTCCCTGAGGTAATGAGGAATGCACTCACAAAATTTTGAGTCAGAATTTTGCTTAGTTTTTTTGCCAAATAGGGAAAACGTCGAAAGGAATCCGACAATGCTTGGTGGACTAGGCAGATGATTCGTCCAAGTAAAAGCCGTAAGCAAAAGTTATCTACGGTGAGAGATTTTGACAACATTATATCTTCAATCACGGGTGCAGAAACTGCTCGATCGGCCGATCGCAAACCGATCATTTGGTAAATGTATCAAGGTATCTGAGAAGAGAGGCAAATTCGAAGGCAGAAAGCATTCGGGATTATTTATTTATTTTTTTTTTTGGTGACGGAAACCATTGGACGGGCCATTTTTTGAGAAGGAAACTTCTATGTCGGTAATTTTGTGGGAAGAAAATAGTTGCAGTGCTATGTGGATAGCAATGTGAAGGCTAGCTGCTTCAAAAAATGTGAAGGGAGCGTTACATTGAAGTTTGTCAATCCACCCAATGAACGTTATTTACTTTTTGCTCAGTGATGGCCTTCCTCGGTAAATGCAGATTTGAATCAAACTTATTCTTAGGATTTTTCGGTCGATTCAGGAAGTACGTACATCTGAAAAAAATCACTGTTTTTCTTTCACTAAAATTATCTTAGCGATAGCTAGCGTTGCCACTAACTCATCGAAAACCAACTGAAGTTTAAAATACTTTATTACTCGTCGGAAATAACTTACAAAGGATATGGAGCCCCTAACACATTCTGCCGCATCGGATTGATCGGAATGAATCCTTTATTTAAATCTCCACATAGGTTATTTAGTGACTTGACTGGTCCCACCATTCCAGCACCTGAAATGTGAAAATGAAACACAATGAAAGCCAGTAAGAGAACGCTACTGAAGGAGGGTCTTCATTTATTTAGAGATATGCGTGGTGCATGGTCGACACGTTAGACGTATCGTGACAAGCAACTATTCGTGTTCAACGGATGTCCGTGTTGCATACCCGAAATTTGAAGGCGCTCTCGGGTTTTCTATCCTCTAGATGACGAGCGCCAGCGCGGCGCACAGTGAATCGAGTCAACAAGAAAAGTCGGACATGAAACTTGGGACTAAAATTTCAAATTTTTAAGTTTATTTCGTCACATTTTAAATTTGAAGGGGTGCCGGTGGTAGAAAATTTCACGAGGAAATCAATGGAACCGCTTTCAGAACCTCAAAGTTTTTTATAAAAAGAGTCGCAAGCGTTTAAAGTTTCCAAATTTTGTCCGACCTCTCCTATTGACTCGATCCACCGAGCGGCGGCAGCATGACCCTGACCAGGGATTTAGAGCTGAGGTTTGAGGGAGCATCATAAACGGAGCCGCATCGGCGCGCGAGGCGGAGGCCCGGCGCGGACTTTCATGCCGCTTCGATCAGTGCGCCGGGGGAGCGCATACGCCGTTGAGGCGGCTTCACCTGGTGAAGCCGACTCCCGGCTCCTTTTCTGATGCTGCATCAGTTTTGATGCTGAGTCCAGCATCAAAATTAGCGGCCTCAATTAGCAGACGCGTCGGACGCCAGCGCCCCGGCGTGGGCCACCGCGCCGATGGGAAACGTAAACAAAGGGGTGTTCCGCGAATTCATCGCCGAGTCCGAGGGTCGCGGTCTTCTGGGACAGCCCCGTCGGTAATTAAGCTGGGTGGCGGGTCCAAAAATTAAGGCCGTATCGGGCCGCAAGCCGACGGTCCGGCCTCAGAGGCTGAGGCCCGCTGAGGCCCATGAGCCAGCATCAAACCTCAGCATCAGCGCTTGAGGCTGGCTCGGTCGGCTCTCCAGCATCGGGCTTCAATGCCCGAAGCCGGCGGCCGGCAGGTTGAGCGCATCAGGCTCGGAGCCGTATGCCCGAGCGGCCGCTACCTGGGCATACGGCATTGATGCTGAAGCTACGAGTTGATGCTGTACAGCATAACCTCATGAGGCGCCTCAAATGCCTGACCCTGACCCAGCTCAGCCCTGCTTGTTTTAAGAGTCGCATAAGGTGATCTCAAGAGAGCAGGACTAGTTCGGTGTGTAACACTTCAAAAATAAAAGTGCACGACATTTTACCAAGTGCCATTATTTCGCCATGATCGAAGGTATTTTATTGAACTCCCTTTGCCTAGCTTTGACATGAATGACTTCGATTTTGTACCGAGTTGAAATTGCTAATTAATCAGATATTAAGCCAAATGTCAATACGTTGCTATGACTAGCACTGTCGAATTTTGTCGGTTACGTAATTGAAGTTTAAAATTCGAAATTGGAAAGATGAAAATTGTCAATTAAAATGAAACACACTCAGAGCTGCCTTGAACTATTTCGTAACTTTGGAGACTTCCTTCCCATTTCATCATATCCATTTGAGAAATGACGGGGCTGAGGAATTAATACAACACACTTCTTTTTACTGGTCATTTTCTAAAAATAAAATTTTGCTTATAAATACACTCCAATTTACCGCTAAAGTTTCACTCGGATACACCTTACAGAACCATTCGTAACATTTTTAAAACTCCTGGCTCTATCACGCAAAAAATAACTACATTAAGTGTAACTGCCGAATCGTGTTATGCCGTTAGTGGCGTCATAACTTTTCCGTGACTTTTTTCGCACGATAATTTAAACTTTCGTGAATATTCGCGACTCCTTTCAGAGGGCACCGTCGAGAAATTCAAGATCATTCCATCAATTGCCGAAAATTACTATATTGCTTCAAAATCGGGATTGGCAACTTGTAACGAAAGAAACGACCGGTCTCAGTCAGTCTTTAAGACTTTGGATTTTAAATATAATCAGAATGATTCATGATTCATGATATTTGGCACACAAAATGTATGGGACATCATGACCTATGATATATATTACCGTGACTTTTAAATGGGTTACATTTTGCAATAAGGAACCACTGTCTCTGGCTCTCCCATAAAAGCAGAAATCTGCATAGCAGGGAGTCCAATGTCATGTATGCTGTCTCTAAAATGGGCCAGAAATAATGGTTCCTTAATGCAAAATATAATCCAAATGTTTTGCTTCAAAGCTCTCTCGACCCCCGGCGACACGACTATTCGCAATATATCCCGTCATTCACTCAGAAACGGCGTGACATGCAACTATTCATGCTCGGTGGATGTCCGTGTTGCATGCTCAATTATTGAAGGCGCTTTGCGTGTGTTTAAATTCCCCCATACGATGCGCTCGGTGGTATGGCACTCCGTTCTGTTCGTTATGAATCGCTTAAGGTGTTCATCCCCGGATTTGGTTTTGGTCGAACTAGTGTGCGATATATCTCATCGATTATGTAAAAAAATTTGGCCGATTTCGTCTCAGTAGCCTCAAAAATGACGATACCCTCATCTTATAAGTCTAAAGAAATATCGCGACGAAAAGTAATTGAATAATTTTGAGGGATGAAAACAGAATTCGGCTTTAAAAAATATCTCACTCAAGACAACTGTCAAATTTCGTATAGAATTGAACGTTTTCCTTCCTGAGGCAAATCCTTTTTTCGCTTGTCCGAATTCAGCATTATTTTTCGTGTTTAATTATCACGTGCTGGGGGTATCGTCGCATTTCCTTGGCTTCTGGCTCAAAATTTCCCTAAATAAGTTGTCTTTAGCAATGCAACATATCGCCATAACTTCCATAACGCCCAAAATTAGATTCGAATACCCTCAACAACTCACAACTTATAGGATGGAATCAGTGGCGTGGCGTGAATTGCGATGTATCGATTGTTATGCCTTTTAAACCTATGGAAAAGGATCGATAAACAGGGTGTTCGCAGTGAACACCTTAATAATCGATTCTCTACCATAGGTTTAAATGGCATAACAATCGATAAATCGCAATTCACGCCACGGCACTGGATGGAATGTCATTCTGCCGCGCACATCGTCTCAGGGACGCTGACACTCATGGAGCGCCTTCAGTTTTCGTGCATGCAAGACGGACATCAATCGGGCATGATTACTCGCAAGTCACGCCGTTTCTGAAATGGTAACCGAATGCACGTTGCATATGGGTGATGTTGCGTCGCCGAAGGAGATCATGATGGACTTACTAAAGCCGAACGGGAGTGGCGTGGCGTGTTTTGCGATATATCGATTTTTATGCCATTTAAACCTACGGAGAAGGATCGATAAACAGGGTGTTCGTAGCGAACACCTTACTATTCGATTATTTACCATAGGTGTAAATGACATAACAATCGATATATCGCAAAACACGCTACGCCACTGCCGAATGGGTACCTAAACCTTGCAATTTTTACCTAAAACGACTACATGCCAGGACGTTGTGCTTTACGTGATTTTGAATATTCCCATGGGTACAAAAACGGCCTTCCAGTCGCGCGTTTCTCGCGATACTTATTGTGACTTTAAAATAACTCCACGTGATTTTGGAGATTCCTAGGGATGGAAACTGGCCTTCCGGTCTTGCGTTTCAGGCGATACTGTTTCCGACTTTAAAACAACTTCATGCTAGGACTATGTATTTTGCTTGATTTTGAACATTCCTAGGGGTGCAAAAATGGTCATCCTGTCGTGCGTCACACGCGATATTTTTTGTGACTTTTAAACGACTCCCTGGTAGAACAATGTATTTTGCTTGATTTCAAAGATTTCTAGGGGTGCAAAAACGGGCATCCGATTGAGCTTTTTACGGGATAATTTTTGTGACTTTTAAACAACTCCACGCTAGGACACTGTATTTTACGTGATTTTGGACATACCTAGGGGTGCAGAAACATTCATCCCTTTGTGCGTCCCACGCTATATTATTTGTGACTTTAAAACGACTTTATGTAAGGACTTTGTATTATTCACGTGATATTGGAGATTTCGAGAGGTTCTAAAACGGCCATTCGGTCATGCGTTTCAGGCGATACTTATGTGATTTTAAAACTTCATGCTAGGACGATGCATGTATTTTAGTTGATTGTGAACATTCCTAGGGCTGCAAAAATGGTCATCCTGTCGTGCGTCACACGCGATATTTTTGTGACTTTTAAACGATTTTATGGTAGAATAATGTATTTTATGTTATTCCATAGATTCCTACGGGTGCGGAAACGGTCATACGGTTGTGCGTTTTACGGGATACTTTTTGTGACTTTAAAACATCTGCATATAAAGAGCATGTATTTTACATGATTTTGAAGATTCAGAGGTGCGAAGATGGCCAACCGGTCGTGCGTTTCACACGATGAGTTCTGTGACTTTCAAACGACTTTATGCTAGTACGATGTATTTCACGTGATTTTGAAGATTCCTAGGGGTGCGAAATATTGGTCATCAAGTCGTGCGTTATTCGCGATATTTTTTGTGACTTTGAAACGACTGCACGCTAGGACGATTAATTTTACGGTGATTTGAAAATTCCCAGGGGTGCAAATGTGGCCATCCGGTTGTGTTTCACAAGATATTTTTTGTGACTTTTAAACGACTGCACGCTAGGACGATTAATTTTACGGTGATTTGAAAATTCTCAGGGGTGCAGATGTGGCCGTCCGTTTGTGTGTTTCACAAGATATTTTTTGTGACTTTTAAATGGCTCCATGCTAGGGCAATGTATTTCACGTGATTTTGATGACTTGGGGTCCAAAACGGTCATCCGGTTGTGCGTTTTACCATTAATTTTTGTGACTCTAAACTCACTCTATGCTAGAACGATGTATTTAACGTGATTTTGAAGATTCTTTGGAGTGCAAAAATGGCCATCCAGTTGTGAGCTTCACGCGATATTTTACGTGACTCACAAGCGGCTGCAGGGCAGAACGATTTTTTTACTTGATTTCTGGGATTTCTAGGGGTGCGTAAACGGCCATCCGATTGTGCGTTTCGCGCGATAATTTTTGTGACTTTAAACTCACTTTATGCGAGAAAGATGTATTTTACTTGATTTCTGATATTTCAGTGGAAAAAGAAGGATGAAAAAACGGGAAACAAGGCTAAAAATACACAATTTATGAACCAAATTTTATTATGTATCTATTTCTGAGATTTCAAGGGGTGCATAAACGGCCATTCGGTTGTGCGTTAGAAAGACATTTAACAGAATTCGTAGAAACACTCTTACTCGCCTTTGAATGTTGCCGGATGACGTCATTCGTTTCGGCGCGAAACCTGGGCGTTTTAAATTCGCGGAAAATTTGTGCTGTTTTAATTGCGTTTTTCTTTAATTCTTCTTCACAAAGCGTTTTCAACGTGCGCATCGTGTTCTACGCGTCATTTTCCTTCAGAAAAATGTTGTGCAAGTCAAAATTCGTCTACGGTTTAGCAACCCTTCATTTAAAAGCGAGGTGATAATGGGTCAGTTGCGCTGGTCGCAGAATCGTATTGTAATGCTTGATTCTTGTAGATTAGCGAAAAATAATAAGATCTGTCTAAACAGCAGCTTTCTTTGTTCAATATTAACGGAGGTATCGCCCATTGAGAAGTCGGGTTTTTAACGTCATCCACCGCGGTAGTGACACCCTTGGTTTCTTCTACCTTGCTTTCAGCAGTCATTCCGACGCACATTTGCACTGGTTACTCAATATATGAAACTCGGATGAAAGCAAGGTGGAAGTAACCAAGGAGGGGTGTCACTGCCGCGGTGAATGACGTCAAAAACCCGACTTTTCAAAGGGCGATATCTCGGTTAATATTGATCGTAGAAAGTTGCTGTTTGGACGGATCTTGTTATTTTCAGCTAATCTAGAAGAATCAAGCATTAAAACACGATTCTGTGACCAGCGGAATTGACTCATTCAGAAGCCATGAAGACCCCTAATTTTCAGCCATTGACTTCAGCAATGCGATATATCGCACATCGCACGCCTAACCGATAACGCCAAGGTCCCGGGACAATTCACCTGATATGAAGATGTTGCATGTGTGAGGGATTTGCGATTTGACCATTAATTCTTATGTAAAAGTTCGCGAGAAACTCGATGGTGCCACTGGTTTTCTCTGAAATCAACTCCCAAGCTCAAAAAAAGCTCTCAAAGTGAGGCCAACATGGAGGGGATATCCCACCCTACCCTGAGAGTCCACCTCTACATCAAAACAAACTCTCCATGCGAAGATAGGGAGCAAATACATTACCAGGGTTGCCGTGTTTTCAGTTTTGGAGTCGCCAAACAAAGTGGCAGCCCTGTCAATGTATTTGCTCTCTATCTTTGCATGGAGAGTTTGTTGTGATGTAGAGGTGGACTCTCAGGGTAGGGCGGGATATCCCCTCCATTTTGGCCTCACTCTGAGAGCTTTTTTAGAGCTTGGGAGATGATTTCAGAGAAAGCCAGTGGCACCATCGTGTTTCTCGCGGACTTTTACATAAGAAATACCAGTCAAATTGCAAATCCCTCACACATGCAACATCTCCATTGAGGATAAAAGGAGACTAACCTGGACACATTTTGTTGGATTTGAAGTAGGGCGGGGGTCTGACTTGCGGGGGCTCGGACTTGGCGGACTCGATGAAAGCGTAGTATCCCTCCGGTGTCTCTTCNGGATCGATAAACAGGGTGTTCGTAGCAAACACCTTACTATTCGATTATTTACCATAGGTGTAAATGACATAACAATCGATATATCGCAAAACACGCTACGCCACTGCCGAATGGGTACCTAAACCTTGCAATTTTTACCTAAAACGACTACGTGCCAGGACGTTGTGCTTTACGTGATTTTGAATATTCCCATGGGTACAAAAACGGCCTTCCAGTCGCGCGTTTCTCGCGATACTTATTGTGACTTTAAAATAACTCCACGTGATTTTGGAGATTCCTAGGGATGGAAAATGGCCTTCCGGTCTTGCGTTTCAGGCGATACTGTTTCTGACTTTAAAACAACTTCATGCTAGGACTATGTGAAGATAGGGAGCAAATACATTACCAGGGTTGCCGTGTTTTCAGTTTTGGAGTCGCCAAACAAAGTGGCAGCCCTGTCAATGTATTGGCTCTCTATCTTTGCATGGAGAGTTTGTTTTGATGTAGAAGTGGACTCTCAGGGTAGGGCGGGATATCCCCTCCATTTTGGCCTCACTCTGAGAGCTTTTTTAGAGCTTGGGAGATGATTTCGGAGAAAACCAGTGGCACCATCGTGTTTCTCGCGAACTTTTACGGAAGAATCAACAGTCAAATTGCAAATCCCTCACACATGCAACATCTCCATTGAGGATAAAAGGAGACTAACCTGGACACATTTTGTTGGATTTGAAGTAGGGCGGGGGTCTGACTTGCGGGGGCTCGGACTTGGCGGACTCGATGAAGGCGTAGTATCCCTCCGGTGTCTCTTCCGGGTCAGCTTCCTCTTGCGGTGGTAGAGGCGCGTAGCTTTGAGGCTGAGCGATGATGGCAGAACATAGAGACACAGCGCATAGAACACATACGGTAACCTGGAACAAATACACAAACAATCAGTCAAGGCATCCATTGAAGTATATTTTTACTTTCTCGCTCCCCCAGGTTAGCGGAAGTATTGTCATCCTGCAAGGGGGGGGGGAGTTTAAATTTCATCATTTCTAGACGTTTTAAGGTCCCAGGAGTCAAAATAACCATACTTGAAAAAATGTGTGTCCGTCCGTCAGGCGTCCCCCTAATCTGTGTACAGTGCTCTCCCGGAATCTATCTGTTCGATTTCACTCAAAATTTGCTGAGAAGACCATATCTATGGTTTCTTTATGCACGTCAAACGATTTTGGGGTACGCTAAAATTTGGGAGGGGGGCTGGGGGCCATGGTACATTCTTAGCAAAATCATACGGAAAGCTCATTTTGAAGGACTGTAAATTTTTAAAAATGCCTTTAATTCTTTAAAAGTGGGCATCAAGCACATCACCTGGGTCATTAATTTAAGTTCATGAAAGATCTTTTTCAAGGCCAAAAGCTTCCCTGAAAATATAAGAATGCTAGTTCTCATAAACTCAAATTTGAGTCAGTAACACCATTGTATAGAGGCTAGTTCTGCGAACATTTCAGTGGCAAAATGTGCTAAAAATGTCGTACCCAGCCGATGATAAGGCATGCAATTTTGGTTTTACTTCCAAAAAATAACTTCGAGAAAGAGCTAATTTAATTTGTATCTGCCATGCCGGACTGAGATGCAGATTTACGCTCTCAATAATTGTCCCTGAACTAAACCAAACCGCTCCCAACTTCCCAAATGGCATTCTTCAACGGAAAAATCGCGATTTTTTTGCTATAAAATCACTACGATCATCAAGATCTGAGCACTTATCCTTAAACTTGTCGCAGTTTCATCCCTCTGAACTCGTTTTTGATAAAATCGAAACTTTTTCAAAATTTGTCTCGATTTTTTTGTTCAGTAATATCGCGACAAAATGCCGTCGATAAACTCGCAACTTTTTATCCGATTACTTTGCAATGAATGGCCGTCAATAAAATTGTGATACATTCTCCGATCAAATCGCAACTTCTCGCGAAAATTGTTACTTGGGTCATCCTTCAGGACACAGGCAAGTTGTTCGTTTAAATCTCAATATCCGATTTTTCGACTCAGCTGAATTTTTGCCTCATTAAATATTTCCCCCGTTGATTATAGTCCCTTTTCGGTAGAAAGTCAGTGGCGTAGCCAGGAATTCTTTAAGGGGGAGGGGGTGTCCATTCAAAAACATGACGGTAAAGTTACATTATTTTGAGTATACGCCCCTGGTAATATTTTATGTCTGCTCTTCAAAAGAAAAAAAGGTACAATTAACGAGGCTAAAGGGGGCATAGACAAGGGGAGAGGGGTCTGGGTCCCCCTCCTTTGCCTACGCCAAATCAGATTCAGTAATTTTAGGCAATTTTTCTCAAGGTAGTTTACTGGCAAATAAAATTCCCATAGCCATAGCAATTTTGAGACGTTCCATGGATCTGGACCAATCTAACAGTGAATTAAGCACCGAATAATACGGTTGCCGTCTTGATGGGGTATTTTATAGCGATTCTTCAAGCGCGAAACACTCAACTATTATACTGAATAAGATGCATAACGGGAAAGTAGAGACGTATCATGTCTGCCCGAATAACATTCATCAAAAAGTTATCGAGCCAAAGTAAGTTTTTTTTTTTGCTCCAGACGGTCCGAATTTTCGTTGTGCATTTTCAAACTGTGCTGTTCCATGGAAGGAGTTTTAGCTGAGATAAATTCAGACGCGTAGAATGTGGCCGATCGCCCGATCCGTGGATCGCGGATGGACACTGTGCCTTGAAGGCTCGAAACAAGGTGTACACTCTGGCAGGCGCAGTGTAGGCAATTTGCACATCAGATATCAAGGGTCAAACGGTGTAGCGTTGGAAGTATTTCTGCAGTGTCGAAGGCGCTACATCGGATACGCGTTCGTAGAGGCGGCTTTTGTTTTCCGCAACCGTGGGAATTTTTCCGCTTCAATTACACCGACTGCGCTGTGTAATAATCCGTAGAAAATGTATGGATTGTTTGCGAAAGCGTACAATGAAGAACCTTCTGCACTCCTAACTAAATGAAAGACTTGATGGACAAGGCGTATGTGTGCAGATTTTGTACACAGTTTTCCAACATTACACGAAGCCTTATGGTGGAAAGGAAGTTCAAACTCACTTTTTGATGCTTAAAAATTTTATATTAGCGCTAAATTTTGCACACATTATATTTTAAGACTAGTATTATTTGAAATAATCGCAGTGCCTACGCCACTGCGAAAAGTCACTAATTTAGAAAAAAAAATAAATAGAAAAAAAAACCGATGAGAAAATCAAGCTATTTGCTCCCAATGATGAAGTTTACCCCGACCCTTTCCGGGACCGCGGCGAGTTCTTTCGGCCATCGGGAGGCACGGTGTGAGTATCCAGTAATGCACAAACAAGTCCAAATACGGGTCATACGTGACATGACAAAATTTGACATTGGCCGAGCGCACAGTGACCCAGAACGACTTTCCGATTCAGAAGCGTGCTCTGTGCGTGTCTCAGGTTACGCGATACCTCGTAGCTGTTCGGCGTCTACCATTAAATTTCAATTTTCTGAAATTCTATAGACCCTGGGTCTCTGTAGTCGGTGTTCCGCTGATTCCTTGTGTTGTCATGTTGCCACACGACGCGACATGACGCAGGTGTAACGAGTGTTAAATTGCAATGTGCGCGTTTTTTCAAATGTCCGGAAAAGAGTTTCTTCTCAGTACCTATGCAGAAAATTTCCAATCAGATGAGTCTTTAGTCGCATTCATCATTTTTCCATCAGGTATACGCCAGTGGCGTGGCGTGAATTGCGATATATCGATTGCTATGCCATTTAGACCTATAATAAAGAATCGATTATTAAGGTGTTCGCTGCGAACACCCTGTTTATCGATCCTTTCCCATAGGTTATATGGCATAACAATCGATATATCGCAATTCTCGCCACGCCACTGGTATACGCAAAAGACAAACATCGGGAACAGGGCTTATTCCACCACCATGGGTAGAAATATTATTGAAATGTACAGATAAAGCTGTAGACTAGACCAAAAAAAAAAAAAAAAAAAAAAAAAAAAAAAAAAANAAAAAAAAGGAAAATATAGCGACCCTCACGGAAAAAGGTATAACAATCCCAACTACACTCCCGGCTGACTTTGGTGTCAGATTAAGAGTAGTTGCACAAGTCAGAGTTACAGTTAAATCTGCCAAAAGTGTGGTTGGATCGACAATACCCTTGGCCAATGCATCTCCTCTTATTGTATTTGGCGCCAGAATCAGCCGGGAGTATAGTTTTGATTCTGATACAAACTTTTTTTTTAATGATACAATTGCGGAAGCTATTGGTTGCAATGAACGTAGAGGATGAATGAGAGACTAACCAGTGGCAACCCACGAGAGCTCCTGAAGTTAATTTATCATTTTCCTACTTTGTCCATTGCAACAACTCGCTTCCACCAATAGGATCGCTCAATTTTCCCATGTCCTTTTTGTCTGTCGATTCTAATCAGAGACAACCACTAGTATCTTGGCCCTGGTGGAAGCTTTTACTTTCGGGACTTCAGCATTCTACTGTTGGTGTTCAACAACGTGTTGGCAGTTTCGTATGCAAACAAGCCGAAGTTCGGGAAACTTGTTTGGCTCATGACGTCACCCGGAGCTCATCATCTACCATGTAGGTAGGTCAACAGCCGAAATTAGGGTGATGACTGTATGTTGCTCCCTTACAATGGAGATGTTCCATGTGTGAGGCATTTGCGATTTGACTGTTGATTCTTACGTAAAAGTTCGCGAGAAACACGATGGTGCCACTGGTTTTCTCTGAAATCCACTCCCAAGCTCAAAAAAGCTCTCAAGTTGAAGCCAAAATGGAGGGGATATCCCACGCTATCCTGAGAGTCCACGTCTACATCAAGACAAACTCTCCATGCAAAGATAGGGAGCAAATGCATTGACAGAGCTGCCACTTTATTTGGGGACCTAAAACTGAAAATACGTCAACCCTGCTAATGTATTTGCTCCCTATCTTTGCATAGGGAGTTTGTATCGATGTAGAGGGGGACTCTCAGGATAGCGTGGGATATCCCCTCCATTTTGGCCTCAACTTGAGAGCTTTTTCTGAGCTTGGGAGTTGACTTCAGAGAAAACCAGGGGCACCATCGTATTTTTCGCGAACGTTTACACAAGAATCAACAGTCAAATCGCAAATTCCTCACACATGCAACATCTCCATTGTCCATAAGGATGGGTTGAATCCCCGAAAGTAAAAGCTTCCACCTGTCTCCGAGAGGCCAATGGAGGGTCTCTTGTCTCTGATTTTTTAATCAGCCCACTAAGGAGGATAAGACGTTGAGGTGAATCTCAACTGGAAGAGACGATGAATCGGCAACACTTTGACCGAGACCATGATCATGATAGTGAGTGCAGGAGCACTTACTCCCAGAGCCAGCGCTGCCGCCAGCGTCGCCGTGTGGTCGCCTCGCGATCTTTCATTCATTTGCTCATTCTCTTTACTTACCCAGCTCCAGTCCGTACTCGCACCATTGACGCCGAGTTCCAAGCGAAAATGTCGCTTTTTTCCCCTCCTTTTATTATGAATATAGGTCAGTTACGCTCGTCTAAACTTTAAGTTTTTACATCGCCTTCGCCATTCTATTACTTCTTGCGATTTTGAAAAATCGCAAAAATTGATTGATTTTGAAATTTGCGATTTTGTGAAATTGAATCACTGAGAACAAAAACACACCAACTCGAAAAAATGGAAATAATCGAGACACACACAAAACTGCACAGTAGGTGAAGAAGTTAGTCTAAAAAAAAAAGATTTTTGGTGCCTAAAAGCAAGTACTTAAGGACATTTTAAATGTCCAAATCGGAACAGATACGGTAACTTCCATGACCTTTATACAAATTGTCTGTCCTTAGTGAAGAGTGATCATTTTCGAGTTATTGAGTTGGTG